TCTCCAAACAGGGGAATTTGGAACAGTCTTGTTCACACTTAAAAGATTCTTATCTTCGGTGTGATCTGTTTTATCTCTCATTTGAGCGATCCTCCCAGTCACTGTGGAGATGTTTAGTCTCTCATAAGAAGGGTCCACGCAGGTCTTTGGATTATCGGTTTACTGGCAAGTAAGAAGGCAGTAGCCAAAGACAGTGGTGGTGCAAGGGGAAAACATTGAGGTGAAGGTTGGGGAGATGGAAGGCAAGTTAACACCCATCTTTTTTTTTTCTTCTGCTGGGGCTGCACTGCCTTATGGGAGCAGAGTCCATGAAGTCAACATAGCCCCCTTCTCCACTTTTTCTCACGGCCACCATTCGGGGCTGTGGTGACTTTCCTGTTTTGTTTAGTTATTTATTTTGTTAAATAAAGTAAGTGGCAAATTGAAACAGCACTGTGTCAAACTAATCTAGTATTAGAACTTTGGTGTGTTAGGGAAATATATTTTTTTTTAAAAAAAAGATGAAAATAGAGAAGGAGGGGGTTCTCAATTTTCTCTTTTAATGTCACAACCCACCTAATATGTCACAGATTTGTCACCACAGATAACACAGCCCACAGTTCTTTTTGGATACAAAATAACCATCTGGATAGGCTATACAATGGGATAATTAGGAGTGTACTGAATATTATATAAAAACACAGAAGCCTCTAGCACCAGAAATGTGTGCAACCGCCCTTAAAGGGACAGGGTGGATCACTCTAATTCAGTGGTTCCCAATCTTAGGTCCCCCAGTTTCCTTGGACTAAAATTCCCAAAAGCCTTCACCATGTGCTGTGCTGGCCAGGATTTCTGGGAGTTGTAGTCCAAGAACGTCTGACCCATGGTTGGTAAGCGTTGCTCTAAGGAGAAACATATGTGGATGCTGTAATTAAATTTGAACCAAAGTGTACCAATAGCCATTGTGAAGGAGAGATAGATAAAAGAGAGAAGGAACAGAGTAAGCCGTCCCCTCGAATAGAGACGTCGGAGTGAGAGAAGGAGATAAGACAGGAAGATAATAGAGTGAGGAATTGACTGTAGAAGAAAAAGAAAGAAAGGAATCAAAGGGAAGAGAAGAAAAGGTTGAATTATGTTTGGTGGTGGAGGGAGAAGTAAAAAGGAGAGGAAGAGTTAATTCTGCCAGTGTGGGAAGAGGATATAAAAGATCAAAAGGGGAGGAGAGTTTTCAGTGTACCAAGGGGAGAGACGGCAAAGGAGGAGGTTGGAGATAGAGATAAGAAAAAGGATGAATACAGATACAAAAAACCACCACAAGTTATTAGAAGATGTTCCTATCTTGAAAGTAGGAGGATTATTACCAGACCATGAACTAAGAAAGGAAAAGGGATCAGCAATTGAGACACTAGAATGGACAGTTGTAGTCTTTCCACGAGGGCAAGTATCACATTCCCAGGGGGTTTCAACAGGCAAAAGTCCAATAAACCAGTCCAATATCAGAAGTCCAGAAGATGCAAAGCAGATACCAAAATGCCAAAACACAAACCATAGTCAGCAGTCAGAGTCCAAAGCCAAGGGTTCAGAGAACAAGGTTCAAGGTAAGCAGAAGCATTAATGGGAGCCAGAGTGTTGACTTGTTCCTTCCACAAACTTCCAAGCCTCTGAGTGCAGATTTTATCACAGCAGCAGTTATCTAAACAATTCATCCTGTTAAAACTCAGTCCTGGTCGACCTGATGTTCCCATGGGAAGCATTCATGCGATCCTCTGCCCTTCCTGTCATGAGTCTTTGCTGAAGCTTAGCCCTCACCGTGGCTACTGGGGGAGGATAATCTGGTGGTGATTCAGCTGTCTTGTGCTTCTAATTGCCCAGCATTTTCCTCAGCTGTAATTAACCCCTCAGATTCCAGATCTTCTTCGGCTGAACTCATGACAGCAAGGTCACTGAGGAAGGTGATCCGACCAGATCAATCCTTAAACGAACCACCACAGGAGGGAGATTGGGCCAGACATCCTTGCTGTGGAACGATATGCACAGTGCGGAGTGCTCTGTTGAGGAAACCTACAGACTGGGGGCAGTTTGGACAGGCCCCTCAATGAACTTTCATAACCTGTGGATGGAGTTTTCATCGTCACATTATGGACAGTTACCTACCCTTAGTTGTTTTGATCCTATAGAAGTCGTTGTGGAATCGCCAAATGTTAAATCAAACAAATCTGTTGATGTTTCAAAAGAGACGCAGTTGTTATTTCCTGCCAAAAAGGAGAAACTGCTTCAAATTTCTAACGAACCCAATCACAGCCATCCAAACAGCTATCTGTATACTCATCTGGACAGGCACACAGTCAGAAAGAGAAAAGAAGAACCTAAGCAGGTGTCTGTGAAATGAAACCACAACCTGTAGCCGTGTATGGAGAAACCAAACTATGCATGAAGTTGTGGGGAAGTATATATTGTGACTGTATTTCTTAAGTGCCTTGCCCTGGCCTGAGAGCCTGCATTTAGACTCATTGCTTTGTGCCTTTTAGTTGCAACCTGAATAAAAGGTACTTGCTGGAGGATTGACCAGGTATTTGGAATTTTGCTAATACTTTTGGTGCGATGACTCCTTTCCACTGCATTTGTGAAGGGAGCAACTCAGTTCAGGGTTCCGTTCCCAAATGCACTTCTTTGGGCCCACAATGGGGCTTTTGCCTTTTTAAAGGCTCCTTCATGAGAGTAACTCCACCTGCTGTTTTGTGAACACAATTGCTGCTGGAAAACCAGAGACCAGCTGTTTTCCACAGGTCCTGGGGTAAATCTGCTTTACTTGCTACTGTTTTTTGGGTTCTTTATGGAATCTATTGAGTTCAGGTGGTCTTGAATTTTCCTGCTTTGCATCTCAGGGGGCCGCGCCCCTCCCTATCTGTAATGTGAAGACTAGACTGCAGGAGGTTCGTAAATTGCCCGAAAATTCAGGTTCTCCAGTTTGGACGAACTCAAACTGATCCGAAGCAAGGAATTGGTGATTTTTCATGAGTTTCCTGATTCGTTTTGGGCTTCATGTGGAGCCAATCTTCTGTAGGGCCTCCCGATGTTGAAGGCCCTCCATGTTGGTCACCAATATGTGAGGGTTCGACTTTTGGGTCCACAATCAGTTCAAAGAAATCAGTAGATTTTTGTTGCTTCAAAACAGGTGACAGATCGGTGCATTTAACAATAAACAAGTGTCTGCATTTAACAATAAACAAGTGTCTGTAACATGATTGTGAGTCTCTTCTTCTGCCTACGGGTCTGGAAGGGGCTTCCAATCATCAAACAGGATGGGTTACCATAACTATTATCTCATGGTCCTGGTAAATCGGTAGGGACTCAGTCTCTCAGTCTGCCCCGTCGAACCTTCCAACAAGGACATGGTCTCGTCATCCTGATCACCATTCCACAGGGCCTGTCTCTCGGGGTCTCAATCTCCCCAGGTCCTCCCGATAACTCTTCTCCCTCATCTTATTCTTCATTCCAGCCTTTCTCTCTTTTCTCTCTCCCCTCTCTTTCTCCTCTCTCAGCCTCCTCCTCCACTCTCTAGCCTCGGCTTCTCCCCAATAAGAGGATCTAGAGGGAATCTTTCTTCTCCATTTGTAATCCGCCTCCTCCTTAGGCACCCTTAGTCTCTCCCATAATCCCATCCAGGAATCCTCCATCCACACCCATTCCCAACCGGCCGGCAACTGACTCTCTCCTTTCTACCTATCGTTCCTGCCTCAAACTCCTCTCTTTTTCCTCTCCTTTCCTGCTTTTTCCTCCTGAACCTCTCTCATCATTACTCTCTGTATCTCTTCGGTCAGCTCCTCTATATCTATCCCTTGCTGAGCTTCTGCCGTAGGCTCTGGTGCTGGCTGGGGTCTCGCCTCCTTATCCTCGTTGTGGGCGAAGGATGGCTCTCCAGAGTGGGGTATCCCTCTCGCCTTCTGTCTCTCACACACATTTTTATGCAATTCAACACTGTTTAGAACAGTCAGATTTAAAGTCAGAAAAGTCATTATGACACTGAGAGGAGTAAAAGTAGTAGTAATAGTGAGGATAAAGATTACTACATACTCATAGCACATAGGTCTCTCTATATGTATAACCACTTCACTCAGACAGTGTGTAATTGTTTCTTTGGTTAGCAGAACTTCAGCTTCTTGGCATCTCAAAGTCAATTTATAAAGCCATGGTAAATCAGAGTTTGAATATGATGAGTGGACTAAATTCATTGGCCTAGTTTTGAAAAGGAACATGACAGTGGTTTGATTCTCAGATATAATGCAACAAGCAAGACTGTAAAGCTAGAGAAGTTTCCTTCAGTTGCAGATTGAACTTTATGAAGTTTCAGTCACTTTTCTTAAGTGGTGGAAGGAGAACATCGGTGCTAACTTTTTACAGGAAGTATGTCTTTCTGCTGAAGATGGGAGTGGGTCAGGGACAGCAAAATAATGAACAGTTACACGATGGCACCCTCCCCCCTCACCAAACAAGGCCTTAAAGCAGGGGTCTCCAAACTACGGCCCACGTGCCACATATGGCCTGCATTGCCATTTTGTCCAGCCCATTCCGTTCAGCCCTGCACACGGGGGTGGGGGGTGGGCCAGTGCATGCTTGCAGGCGTCTGTGTGAGCGAGTGGGTGGTGCAGGCAGGCAGTGGGTGGGTGTTTATGGGGGCATGCATGTGTACAGGTGGGCATCTGTGCAGGTGTGCATACGTGCCTGCGCGCACACATTCCTGTTCCTTTGGCCCTCAAAAACTTTGATAATATCCGGTGTAGCCCTCACTGTAAAAAGTTTGGAGACGTGCCATTAAGAGTTGTTTAATTTGGCTGTCTGGCAGCAAAGGCCAAATCACAAGAGATGTACTCCTGCAACATCTTGGCATGTAGCAAAAGGATAGGCAAAATTACAGTAACTAAGATGCAATGATGGGAAAACGGGTAAAAAAAGAGGAGGGAGGGAGAAGCTGATAAAATACTAATCTCAAATTATGAGAGCAAAATAAAACACACCGAAAGAACATTCCAAGATACTTTTATTTGTTTCTCTTCTGCCTCCTGGCAGGAGCACACAAGGGATACAGTTGTACACAGCTGATGCCCTGGCCCTGGTACAACCATCTGTATGCCCTGTTTTGTAGGTCTCTTTACCACTGACAGCAGCTACATGGAAAGGCAAATGAGAAGTGAGCACTGGAAAGGCTGTACTGCTGAGCCAGAAACCTCATCTGCTTAGGAGAACAGGGGCTGCCCTAAGCCAGAAGGCGCCCAAACAGTCTTTTTCACTTTGGCAAGGTCAGAGTAAAAGGAAGAACCACCACTGACTTTCCTACCTGCCAGCCTTTCTCCCTTTAAAACCACATGAATATTTTTTAAAAAAGAAGTAGTATATACAAGCAAGGCTAATAGCCACTGGCACAGGGATGAGGGTCAAAGATAGCTAGATTCTACAGTCACAGAGGCCACACCAGATCATTTTAATGAAAACTCTGCTTACAAAAAATCATTAAAAATATTCTGGTTCTGTTGGCACTGAATCACGAAGGTCTCATCAGAAATTTGGAAAGTACCTGTAAAGAGAAATGTAAGTGTTTAGTAGTAGTTACATGCCGTCAAGTTGGAACCAAACTATAGCAATCCTTATAGGATCCTTACTTTCAAAGTAAGTGAGATATTTAAGGGGTGGTTTTACCACTTCCACACACCCAGTGAGCTTCAATGGGAGAGCAAGAACTCAAACCCAGACCTTCCAAGTCCTAGTCTACTATCCAATACATCACACTGGATACCCATGTGGGTATTGGAGAAGGGGAAAGCAACACAGGACTCTATAGCACAGTGGGGAACACCTGGGTCTTCCAGACATTTTGGACTTCAGTGTCCCATCGTCCTTCACTAGCACAGCCAGTGGTGAGGGCTGATGGGACTTACAGTCCAACATTTGAAAGGATGCATGTGCCCCACTCCTGCTTTATAGTGTTGCCCTTGTTTAAACTAGAGGATGTAGTTGACAGTTTTCTACACAAAAAGGGTAGGCTTATGCACCATTAAATTTCTGCATCTAAATCCAGGAAACTATCCATCACAATCCTCTTTTGGTCCTCTATGTGGCCAATAAAAGCATTGCATTCCCCCACACTCTGCCACCGCCACCCCGACTCAAGCAGCACATGAGCACCAGTGCCTCCCGAGCCCCTGGCTAGTGTCAGAGGTTAGTGAGGGTCAGTCAGTTCCCAGAGCAAAGGTTAATGGAGAACCAATTGATCCAGTGCTGCCAGCGTGCCTCTTATTCGAGGCAAAATCTCTAAGAAACCTGACCAGCCCTGGACTTAGTTCTCTCTTCCCACCCACCCCCAATGCCACCAATTCCCGTATTGTGACATTACCAGCTCAGCGGTCAGTGGTTGTACGCAAATCTGTGGTCAGCGGATCATGCTGGATGGTTTGGTGCAGCATGAGGGCCAGAAGCCCTGCCCGGTTGGTCATGGCCATCCGCACATTCCGCTCCTGCTCAAAGAGCTCATCCAGCTTATACCACTGTCAAAAGGCAAAGGGGACAGAAATTATACTGAGCCATCGCTGAAGAAGGGTGATCTCCAGCCCAATCCTGACAGCACCACCATTCTCCTTGGTCTCTCCTTCCCCGCCCCCCCCACTTCAAGGGTTTCCCATCCATACCACGCGCACTCGCTCCAGGTCCACCTCAGCTCGGCGCAGTTTCTCCCAGCAGTAATGCCTGTTGCACTTCCGTTTGGGCACCCGGCAGAATTCGCCGGTGAGCTCAAACACATCTTTCACCATGGGACAGCCGCACACTTCATCCGCAGGCACCTATGGGGAGATCACCATTGAAGCGGAGCCAGGTGGCTGCATGTCGTCTGACAAAACTTAATTACTATTCTGCAGTGGGATCATCCAAACCCAATTCTTCATCCATGGAAGCTATGTGAATGTTGCTCATTTTGCTTTGCGAATCATCCGAAAGGAGAAAGCGTTATGTACGATTTCCTTTCCTTGGTCTCTGGAAATTTTGTTCAGTCATGCCTTTGGGTTTCAGGAGCAGAGATGGGCATGAACTGCCAGTTTGGGTGGTTGGTCCATCAGTATTCCGCAGTTCTAAGCCCCACCTCTTCCGACAGGCACCCAACTCAGAGGTAGCACCCCGAGGCGGCGGGGCAAGGAAGTCAGGGCATTGCCTCTGAGTGGGCACCCACCAGAGAAGACGGGCCGCAGAACCACGGAACATCTGTTGGACCAATGAACAAACCAGCACGAACCAGGGCCATCTCTATTCAGGAGGCATTGTCCTAAAGTTCTGAAATACAACTCTGTAGTCAATAAGAGCTAGAAATTTGTTTTTATTGTTAAATAAAAGCCACTTCAATGCTTACTGCCACACTGCACACTTTCCCCCCCAATAAAGGCACACAGCCAAATACAGTATTCCAATCAATGGCCATTTCCCTCATGGATCTGAATGATACGTTAGCCTAAAGCCGGGGTCGGTTTGCAAAGGAGAGCAGCTCTGTCCCTACCTTGGGGTCCCGGGAATGTTCTGGGCACAGGACCTGCAAACGTTTGCAGTAGGTCTTGCTTTGTGGGTTGTAGACATCACAGAAAAGACGCGTGGCCCTGAGAAAAAGAGGACCACAAACAGGTTAGGAGTGGAAAAGTAATGACCTTGGTTTTCAGTGAGCTGGGTAAACAAGAAGAAAAGCATTTGAAATCCGTAAGAATTCTGCCTCGGCTGCTACCATCTCTAGTAAGAAACTTGGAGGGACAGTACTGATTTTGGAAAGACATTAACTCAGGGGCAATGCACTTATTTTGCTTATACAGGTCCTCCTCTTCCTTATGTAGAGGACATGCAGCCACTGTGAGGCAGAAATGTGATCTCGAGGTGCTTCACTGCCATTCAGCTTTCCAAAAACAGTCCTGCACTCACATGGAGGAAAACATGAGGCTGGTCCACAAAAGATACCTTCCTAAACCACCAGAGATAAGTAGAGAGTCAGCTTTTCAAGAAAATGTTCGGACCTAGCTTTCACTTGCACTGGCATGGAGTGGACCACTTCAGTTCATATTATCAGAGGAGTAGATCTGAAAGAGGCGAGGTGGTGGTGCTGCAGGTTAAACCACAGAAGGGTGGACCACTTCAGTTCGTATTATCAGAGAAGTAGATCTGAAAGAGGCAACGTGGTGGCGCTACAGGTTAAACCACAGAAGCCTCTGTGCTGCAAGATCAGAAGACCAGCAGTCGTAAGATCGAATCCACGCCACGGAGTGAGCTCCTGTCCCTTGTGCCAGCTCCTGCCAACCTAGCAGTTTGAAAGCATATAAAAATGCGAGTAGATAAATAGGTACCACGATGGTGGGGAGGTAATGGCATTCCCCGTGTCTAAGTCGCACTGGCCATGTGACCACGGAAACTGTCTTCAGATAAAATGCTGGCTCTATGGGTTGGAAACGGGGATGAGCACTGCGCCCTAGAGTCGGACACAACTGGACTAAATGTCAAGGGGAACCTTTACCTAGATCTGAAAGACTGACTGCATCAGTATAATGATCCCTAGTGGGAAGGGTCTGGTAAACAGCCCCAAGCAGCAAAGCCTGAGCATTAACTTACCCTTCGATACGTGTTGGATACATAGACCCAAAGGATGTCTGGCTCTCATACTGCGGAAGGGGAAAAGGAAAGTGGAGTCACAACTTCTAAGCATCAACAGGAAGTGAAGAAGCAATTAAATCCCTCCTTCCCACCCCCTTTCAAATAGCTATTGCCAAAAGGTGACGTGCCTGGTTCCACCTTTTGTTATGCCTGTCACATCCTACAGCATTCCTCTCCAAGCTTGTATCCTCTACAGAAGTTTTGAACAGTTACTTCCATAACTCTTTTAGACAAAAATGTTTAAATCTCATAATCCATGACAGTCTAGGTCATGAGCACTGCTGTGAATTGGAAAGTGATAGCAATTCACATCATTGGGTAGCAGATAATTAACCCTTTCCGTGATGTTTTAATGAATATTTAAAAAGTCATACCAAGAAAGGTTAGTTCTTGGTCCTATAAATGAATCCATGATTAATAGAATGTACTCCTATGTAAACCTGCTATTAAACATGCTACTAAGTAAATGAACAGCATCAAGCTTTTGATTTCACTTAAATGCCTTGGAAGGAGATATACTGGCAGAATCCAGAATGGCATCCTTGGCTTCCTAAGACTTGGTCAGACATTATAGCACAGGCCACAAATATTTGCATTTTACAGCTTTGGAATGCAGGCTAGAAAGAAGCTGTTTGCTCAGCATGGACGTGAATGTCGGTATGAAATCCAACACCAGGGTTATCTAGCCCAGAGAAGGAAGGCAACATGATTTAGCAATGGAAGCTGCCTTGGGTCCTTTTAGAGAGAAAGGCGGAATAGAAAAATTTTAAATAAATACTACCTTGGCGTAGCACCGCTCCATGTGACGCAGGGCGACCTTTGGATTGATTGGGTGGCCGCAGGAGACACAGAATATCTGCAAGTCTGTATCATCGCTGTCTCCTTCACTGGTCTAGAAAACAGGCAAGGAAAAATCAAAATTAGCAACTGAGATTTTTCAACCCAACAGCTGCTTCCCTCCCTGTCATGGAATGATTTATGTGGTTTAAATCTTGTACTAAAGATGGGATATGTAGTAGTGAACAATGTAAATGGATTCCATATTGGTTCTCTGTATAAATGATCTCTGCATGCTGATAGTGTGTTTCTAGAAGGATGTGGGAATGTTTTTCTGTAGGCCTGAGGAGGACATTCCTAGATAAGAAGACTGGTCGTTTGTTTTGACTGAATTGCAGACCTATTGAGGAAAACAACGCCTGTTTCCCATGAGAAGAGAAGAGAGAAGATAAAGAGGGACTGTTTACCTGAATTCATGCCGTGATTGGATGACAAGTGTGAGAGACGGAGAAGAAGGGGGATTTTCAGCTAAGCTTGAAAAAGGAACTCTTACCATGGACAATATCCTTTCATTTCCTTTCTTTTTCTACAGTTTGCTAGGTCTTGTTGCCAGCTGTGCAGTGCAGGTAACAGACTAATAGAGATGTAGGTGATTAGGTGGAAAGGGGGGCTTTAAGCCTTTTGCCCACCCTAATAGAGCTTTGACTTTATTTTGTGAATTTCTATATTTTTCTTAATAAAATAATAATTATAAAAATCAATTGGTCTCTTGAACAGCAGAGCTGTCTTAGTATTACCCTGAGGGGGAAATATTGGGCCACATTTTGCTACTGAGTCCTATCCCTATGGAGCAAAGTGAGTCTACCGACTACATAGCTCATGTGTCTTTCTTTTTTGGAATTTTCTAAGGTTGCTGGAGTATCTTTTTAGGGCAGACTTGTAAGCAGAAGTGTTGGGGCGGCCCTTGGCTGAAGTTACCAGGACTCAACTCAGCCTAATGAGGGAGCACAGGCTGACATTCCCTACTCTAAGAAGGTGGGGTGGATCTGAACAGTATCTATAACCCTCCAAGCCAAGCATGCACTATATACTCATCACCATGTCACAAACTACATAAGCTTAGGATACGTAACAGGGAGAAATCTCAGCTCTAAGCTAGGGTAGAAGCAGTTGGGGACATTTTCCTTTGCTCCTTTCAGCCCTGATTTCCAGCTGTTCTTGCCCTCTATTTTCATTCTATCTCCCCATTTCCCACTGCCCCCCCACCTCACAATACAAACTGTTGACCTTTGCCTTGGGCAAATAGGTCTCTTGCTTCAGGTAAATAGAAAACACTGCAAAGAATGGACTTGACAAAAGCTTCATAGTTGACCACATGACACGGTCACACAGAGGCAAAAGGCGATCTCAGAAGAACAACACAGCCTACTATGTGGGGGTGGGGGCAGGGGGCACTTGACCTTCTAGGTATTTTAAGAGTAGCCATTCTCAACCTTTTTTGGGCCATAGCTATAAAAACAAAATGAAAGAAATATTAAGCTGAATCAGGACTGTATAAGTATAACAAACCTTATAAGGTGGCCACAGTTCCATGGTTCAGCCCGGTACCCCCACAGGTGTTCCACAGGTGCCATCCCTGCCTCCTCAGTGCAACTGCCTACTCACTAATCTCAGTGCAAGCTTCCTTCCCTGCCTCCTCCAGTGGCGACCCACTCAGACGAGGAGGCGGAGCAGGAGAGCCTGCAGTGCTGTGTTTTAGTGGGCAGCCGCCGGAAGAAGTAGAGGAGGGAATCGCACACAGAGATCGGTGAGTGGGCAAACAGGCTGAGGAGGCAGAGAGGGAAGCGCGCTTCAGCCAGGGAATTGGGAAGTGCACAGAGGAGATGAGAGAAGGGAATGCACGGAGCCCACAGAACACTTGTGTGGGCTCCACACTGAACTGACCTGAACCACAAAACTGCAGTTTATGACCCATCTCTAGTGGTGAACATAAGAGCCCTGCTGGATCAGGCCAGGGGCCCATCTAGTCCAGCTTCCTGTATCTCACAGATGCCTCTGGGAGCACACGAGACAATGAGATACTGGTCTCCTGATACTCCTCCCCTGCATCTGGTGTGTGAAGAAGTTTCCAGTCTGTGGCCTGTCAAGGGTGCCACGACCCGTGTGGCCCCTTTTGCGAATGGCTGTTTTAGACTACAACTCTCACATACCTTACGCTGGCTATGCTGGGGAAGGTTAATGGGAGATTTTAGGTCACAATATCTGACGGGCCAAAGTTTCCCCGGCCTGCATGCTAGGGCTGAACTTCTCTGGAAATCACCACTGGAGTAAAAGTTCTGGCACTCATGTAATTCTTAAGAGAACTCAGAGCACTGGCTGGCTGGCTTAACAGGTGAAATTAAGAGTGACAATTTCTCCAGAGATCCCATTCCCATAAAACTGTTATGACAACAGGTTTTGTAGGCACAGTGCGGAATTACAAGGCTATCAGGACAAGTACTAGACTTATTCTGGAAATGTATCAATACCACTGGAACTCATGAAAGATCTATGGACTAAATTCAGGTGCTGGCCCCTATTAGAGTAGACCCACTGTATCAACTGTTGATGGTGAAATCCACTAATTCAATGGATCTACCCTAGTTGGGACTGGCGGCAGGATTTCGGTCGACAATTCTATATCCAAACACAGAAAGGAACACACGCAGGTTGTAAAACAGCTCCATCCAGGCCCTTTCCACGAACCCCCTTTCTACGAAGTTAGAACATGGTTAATGTTTCCGGCGTCTACCCAAGAGAGGATCTCGGAAATCCAACGGCCAGGGGCCTCCCCCACACACACCCCACACATCTTCCAAGCACCTCTTCATCTTCCTTGATGGCCTGTTGCTTGGCCCGGCTAATGATGGCTTCTAATTCATGAAACTTGCGCTCCATTTCCTGCAGCTTGAGCCGAGCTTGCTGCTGCTCCCGCCGTATCCGCTCCAGCAGTTTCTTGCCATGTTCCTCGGCCACACACGGGCTTTGCTGCCACTGCTGGATGCGCTGAGGTAGGATCTCATAGATGCGGCTGTGGAAAAAGACAGAGCAGGCCCATCGGTACTTGCCAGTACATCAAAAGACAGTAGCCCCTAACAGTATCACAACATTCAATGCTAAATTGTGGGATTCAATTGCCACAGTGCATTTGGTGGGAACACAGGAGAGCGCCTTCTCTGCTGCTGTTTCCACGCTCCGAAACTCTCCCCCCCACACATATAATGGAGGCCAGGCTGGCCCCATCTTTGCTGCCCTTTAGCAAGCAGGCAAAGACCTTTGTCTTCAGACAAGCTTTCCCTCAGTGACTGGCTGCCTGAGTGGGATATTTAAATGGATTGCCTAGCCTTACTACTTTGAATGTGGTTTTGGTGTTCCTTTTATTCAGTTTTTACTGTGGCATTTGCTCGAGCTTTTTTAGTATTTATACACTTACTCTTGTTAAATATTGTCTTTTAATGATGTAAGCCACCTTGGATTCCCTTATCGGGAGAAAGGTGGTCTATAAATAAAACAATACATATTTATTATTATTATTGTTGTTGTTGTTGTTGTTGTTGTTGTCGCTGTCGCTGTCGTTGTCATTATTATTAACAATGATAATATCTCAAGAGGTGTTTAGATAATTGTCTGCCACAGAAAATTAAGAACTTGCAAGCTGCTTTTCTCCATACAGTAGAAAAAGATGATTTGAGAGTTGCATAAGGTGAGCCCCTGTGTTTTACCTTTGTACAGGACCACTGGGGGATAATCTTAAAGTGGGGAAGTGTGTCAAATCTGAAAAGGGGTGCCTAGGATTCCCACAGCCTGCACATCATATCTGCTGCTTAGCATGGGCGGCTGTGCTGTTGTATATTGCCCACTAGCACACTAAGGCATTTATCAATTGACTTCAATTTCCAGAGAGACAGCTGTGTCAGTCTGAACTGACAGACTAAAAATTACAAAGTCCTGTCGCACTTGAAAAGACTAACAAGTTTTATTTAGCATAAGACATCATGGATGCATTTGGAGGTGTCAACTGGGAGCTGTGGAAACTTCTCCCTAATAAAACTCGTTCAGCTGCCAGAAGACATTGTGGTTTCTGAACGACATCGTAATAGCTCGTTTCTTGAAACTGCTGAACTGAGACTGAAAGAAAGTCCCAAGACACCGACTCTGGCTATGTTTTGTCGGCCAAAGCTCCTTACAACTCACTCCATGCCTGCTCCGAGGGTGACCCCCGCCTGTCTCCCTGTCCCCCGTCAATGCTGGATGACAAGGCAAGGAGGCCAAGTAGATGGGAAAAGAAAGAAAAACAGGGAGAGGAGGAACCAAAGTAGACCGGCTCTTACTTTGCTGCCAGCTTCATGCCGCATTCGTCGGAGCAGTACTTAGAGTTGGACCGGGCAGCCTGGATGCAACCAGGGCCAAGACACTGCTGTAAAGAGGACGGGTCTTTGACGTCCACCCGTTCAGCATGCTTGGACCTGTCGCGATGCTTCTGCTTCTGCTTGTGACGCTTGTACTTCTCCTCCTTCTGCAGGGCAAGGACCACACAGCAGATACAGTTAAAAGGCAGCAAGACCCCTGATGAGCACAAAGAGGACTGTGCATTTTTACTGAAGCTCCTCAAAGCCTTTTCACTGAGGCCGCCCTGAGATTGTGGCCTGCCTCTTCAACAAGGACATTGCCAATGAGACTCACAATTGTTTCAGGGCACAAACAGCGGCTCCTGCCTCTCCTCTCTAGTCTTTTCTAGTCTATTTTACTCAGCACATTTACTATCTTTTCTCCAAAGATAGATGATCTTTATAACAACACTGTTGTGAGCTGTAGACAAGGCAAGGATACAGCAAGTGGCCCAAAGATACTCAGGGAGCTTTGCAACCAGCTCTTGAACTGGAGTCTTCTTGTGCTCTAACCCAGTGAGTCCCAGCCTTGGGTAACCCAGATATTCTTGCACTGCAACTCCCAGAAATCCTGGCCAGCACAGCTAGCAGTGAAGGCTTCTGGGAGTTTTAGTCCAAGAACATCTGGGGACTCAAGGTTGGGAACCACTGCTCTAACCAATACTTCCCAGTGCCTTTACCTTGCAACAAAAATGCAACAGTGGCTTCTGCCCTCTAATACAGTGCTCCCCAACCTTTTTGGAACCATGGACTGGATGGGGTGGGTGGGCTCCATGTGTGGGGGGGCAGGAGCACCCCCGCGCTCGCAGGTAGGCCTGTCATGCTTGCAAATGGGTGTATCACGCTCGCGCACTTGCGCATCAATCCCTTGCACACATGCGTGACAATCCCCCATGTGCATGGGTGCAAGCACAACACACACACCCATGAGTGCTGACATGCCCACCATGCATGGGGGGGATGGAGATCCATCTCTGCAGCCCTGTCTTGGGAAGCCCACGGGGGGTTGGGGACCCCTGCTCTAATACACTTAGTTACAGATTATCCTTCAAAATAAACAATGGGCCTCCAGATGTTGCCAGACTGCAATTCCCAGTAGTATTCCTCAGCATTTCTTATGCTGGCTGGGGCTGATGGGACTTCCATGCAGTCCAATGATAGGCAGAGGGCCACATTTTGCCTCCAAGTAGCTTGGATGAGTAGCAAAATGTTTCAGCCTAATAAGAAAGAAGTCCAGTTGCTATGACTCAGCTTCCAGACTCCACTGTACATGTTAGGTTTTGTCGCACATCATAACTATAAAGCAACAATGCTACACACTAGGTAACTTTTGCACTTTGCTTTGAATCTCCTATCAGATCATGTTTAATAACACAAGAGGAGCCTTAGCACAGTGGCAGAGGATATGGGTGCATGGTGTTAAGGTCCCATATCCAATCTTGGACACTTCAAGTAGGATGGAGCAGGCTTTAGGTGATGGGAAAGGCCCCTCTCTGCTTGGGACTCCAATATGGGTACTGTACTTGCTCACAGTATACAGACCAAGGGTTGGCAAACTAGTACTCTTCAAATGCTCTGGGCCCCAATTCACATTCATCCCAGAAAGAACAGTTAGTGATCAAAATTATGGCAGTTGTAGTCCAGAAAGTAAGGAGGGAATACTGCTTATGCCTAGACAAAAATTGGATTATATGGACAGTCTAATGTACTTTAAGGCAGGCTCTTATATCTACCTAAATAGTTCTGTACTATTTATTCATCTAAATACCAAGACTGGCATTAGTTGGGAATTCTCTTTTGTATTGTTGAACTACAAGGGATAAATACAGTAGGACCTGGTTATCTGTAAGGGATTGGTTTCAAGCCTCCTCATGGATGCTGAAAACTGTGGATAATAGTGAATTTTATACAGAGGATGGTAAAAGAAAAACAATCTAGAAAATAAGTAAATTTACCATGTAGTACCAGAACTGGCCACTAGAGGGCAGAAAAGATTATGCTGTGCAATGGTGCCTCGACTTACATATGTCCCTACTTACGACCATTTCGATGTACAGTGGTACCTCGCTAGATGACAACCTCGTAAAATGACAAATCCGCATGACGATGAGGTTTTGCAATCGCTATAGCAATTTGCAAAACAGTCATTCCAATGGGGGATTTTCGCTGGACAATGATTTGGTCCGTGTTTTGCGGACCGTTTGTTCACAGGATGACGATTTCTACAGCTGATCGGCGGCTCCGCAAAATGGCTTCCCTGTGTTTTCCGGACCCATGCTTCGCAAGACAGCCATTTTAACAGCTGATCGGCACTCGCAAAATGGCTTCCCTCTGGGCGATCTTCACTGGACGACGACTATTTTCCCCATTGGAATGCATTAAACGGGTTTCAATGCATTCCAATGGGGAAACGGTTTTCGCATGATGATGATTTCGCTAAAAAGCATTTTCTATGTACCGGATTATCATCGTCATGCGGGGCACCACTGTACAACCAGGCCCAGCCGCAAAATTTTGCTTCGACTTGTGGCCGGAACTTCGACTTGCGACCAGGAAATGCAGGGGGGAAAGGTGGGAAATTCAAACTGTTGAATTTTTAAGGGACGTGGTGGCGCTGCGGGTTAAACTGCAGAAGCCTCTGTGCTGCAAGGTCAGAAGACCAGCAGTCGTAAGATCGAATCCACGTGACAGAATGAGCTCCCGTCACTTGTCCCAGCTCCTGCCAACCTAGCAGTATGAAAGCATGTAAATGCGAGTAGATAAATAGGTACCACCTCGGTGGGAAGATAATGGCATTCCGTGTCTAGTCGCACTGGCCACGTGACCACGGAACCTGTCTTCAGACAAACGCTGGCTCTACGGCTTGGAAACTGAGATGAGCACCGCCCCCTAGAGTCGGACACAACTGGACTAAATACCAAGGGGAACCTTTTTACAAACCATTGGTGGCAAAGAGGCTGCTGCTTTGTAGCTCTTTCGCCCCAACGGTTAGGGAAAGGGATGCAGCGGTGGCAGAGGCGGGCCAGTGCCGGGAGGCTGAGCATTGCCAGGATGCTCTGGCCGCTCACCTCCCGACGGGTTCCTACGGTGGGGCCAGCCATGGTGGAGGACGAGGCCAGGGTGAGTGGCCGGAGCATCCCAGCCAGGTTCAGCGTCCTGGCGCTGGGCCACCACTGTAGGAGCCCGTTGGGAGGCAAGTGGACGGAACATCCCAGCCAGGCTGCCGCTGCAATCAGAGGAGGCTGCGGAGTGGTAAGGTAAGCTTGCAGTGTTTTACAGGGTTTTTTTGGGGTGGTGGTGGTATTTTTTTAAAATGCTGGAACGGATTAATCGTGTTCCTATGCATTTCAATGGGAAATGGTGCTTCAACTTACGACCATTTTCGACTTACATCCATCTTCAGGAACAGATTATGGTCGTAAATCGAAGCACCACAATATAGTCTTCACCAAAAAGAATAAATAGCATGGTCTCTGTCTCCCTCTAGTGACCAGTTCTGGTAAATACACCATGAAAATATCTATTTCTAGATTTTTTTTTCCTTTTCTTTTAATAGTTCATATTTATAGGCTGCAGGTGAGACAACAGATACCGATCCAGTGGATACAGGGGCCCTACTTCATAAATGAAAGGATATAGTGGTTCATTTTGTCCTGCACACTCAGAAACATCTGGCTGGCTATGGTTAGAAACAAGCAGCGAAGAGAGATGGGCCTTTATTTGCTCTAAGAAGGCAAGGTTAACATTCTCCTTGTCGATGGCAGGAGACTCAGACTGACAGTCCAGTTCATATCAAGGAGGAATAAAGGAAAAAGTACCACTCAGTGTGCACATTTTAAAGAGAAAGTCATCTGGTTTCACTGGCAGGTGTAATTGTAATTACACGACCCACAAAACAACTACCCTCCCAGCTATATTCTGGCCTACGGCTCCCATCAGCCAATGGTAACAGGTTATGGGAAATGTAGTTCAAAATTATTTAGGGGATCAAGAGTTCCCCTCTCTGGCCAGAAAGGATGTATCTTCAGTGCAGGGCTGGCCACTTAAAAAAAAAATCAGCCACTCAGTTGCTCAAACCCTTTGTGCCCTGCAATGCAGGCTGCCTGCCTTTAGATGCCTCACCTTCTTCTCAGATTTCTTCTCCCTCCTCTTGACATGCTTCACCTTGACGGCACGCTTCCGCAACACAGGATCAAACAAGGGCCCATCATCTGTATCACTGAGCCACGGCTAGGAGAAAGGAAAAGAGAAATGAAGGGATCCTTACACCAGGAAGGTAGCCTAGCACTGAGCAGGTGCCAGCAATGGGCCAAAGCTATTATGAGAAAAGCCAGTACCGAAGAACTGTCAGAAAAGCCAGCTCTCCTTCTGGTCTCCTTCCACCCCTGCTCCTGCCCACCCCCAAAAGGACAATGTTTATCCTGAACAGGACACAAACTAATTTTAACCATGATACTGAAGATATCAGAATATATGGCTTACTTCCAAGAAATATTTTTTCCAAAGATCAGAAAAGGAGTTGAAAGGCATTAGACCAGTGGTGGACATCCTGTGGCCGTAAACCGCTTTTGCAGACCCCTCTGGCACTCCAAAATATTGAACAAAAAAGGTCCTCCAAAATCAGCAGTGCAATCCGATATGAAAAATGAGTAGTCCTGGTTTCAGCAGCTATTTTATGTTTTGTCAAAGTTATTTAAATATAATTACTAATAAAACAATGGCCTGCTACTTAGTGTAAAAAATCACATTAAAGTAGGCCCACTGAATCAACAACTCCGTAAGTTCCATTGACTCAAATAGATCTACTCTAACTGAGCCCTGCAATGCTAAAGTAAGTCACGGTTAATAGTCAGGCTATTTGACCAGAATTTATGGAAGAGTTGACTCACCAAATCCCTACTGCTTCAATGGGCATACTCTAATGCAATTTGCTATGCCAAAAAACAAGATCTTGGCCACTCTTTACTGCTTTTATCTTGGTTTATAACTCTTGTCCCATAATTGCTATAACTAAATAAGGAGGCCTGCGACCACAAGTCTTCAAACAGTTTCTCAGCAATTTAATTGGCAACCATTTATTATTTCCTCTTACAGGATCCAGTGGTTAAGGACTGTTAAAGAACCAAACATTTAGGCAGCAGAGAAACTAGTAAATACTTGCCACAAATAAACTGAAAGAAAGCTGACTGAATACTCCCAACTGTAGACTACCTTATTCAATGCCACCAGTTAAGGTACCAAACCATGATTTTAAGCAAAAAATAAAAGCAGTGAAAATGTTCTCTCATAAAAATAAGTTCCAATACATTTTAAAAAGTACAGTAGGACCCAGTATCTGCAGGGGGCTAGTTGCAAGCCCCCCTCCCCCAAGACTGAAAACCATAGGTAATAGCAAATACTACATAGCATACTAAGAGAAAGAAAAAAACTAGAAAAAAGTATTTTCACCATGTATTACCAGAACTGGCAACTAGAGGGAGCCAATGACCATGCTGAGTATTCTTAAAACACAAGAATACTGTACTGATTCACTCTTGTAGCCAATTCTGGTAAATACATAATGAAAATATTTTCTAGGTTTTTTTATCCTTTTAATATTTTTAATATTTTAGGCTTTGAATCCAGCCTCATGAATGCAGGGTCCTACTGTATAAAATAGCTGCTGAAAAATCAAAACATGGCTGAGATCTTAGGCAACTTTTCTTTTTTGGGGGGGGGGTGAGTGGCCCCAGGCTACTGGACAATGTGAAAACTGGCCCTTGAATCATTGCCAAGAATTACCCACTCTGTACTAGACAAAGCCAGAACAGTGCCTGCTTCCTCATCCCAGTTCTGTTCTTTGTTTCCTCTTGGCAACAGAAGAGAACAGATCTTGCCCAGAATCCACCAGGTTCTAAGCAACACAGTATTGAATATGGGTATGAAGCTGGCTTCCATAGTGATGGAAAACCTCTTGTGCTACTATACCTCTCACTTCACATGCTTTAAATGCTGCTATTCTCACTTTTGCTGGAGGACTTTAGAAAGCTTATGAAAACTCTGGATTTTGGGAACTAGATTATTCCAAAGAACTGCAGGCACTTGTTTCAAGTTACTACTAGCTCTTCAGCAACAACGGAATGTGCACAAACGGTCTAACTTCTCAAGGGGAAAGTGTTGGCACTAGAGCGCTTACAAAAAGCAGCTTCCATGCGATAAGTGAAAGTTCTAAAAGCAGGGATGGGCAAATTTTGGCAATTCTTTTATCATCCACCACTATTTATCATGCTGCAAGATTGATGGGAGTTTACAGTACAAGAATATAATGAAGGCCATCAGTTGCCCACTCAGGGTCTAAAGAAAGCCCTGTTTGCCAGCAGGAAAAAAAATGCTAGGCAAGCAAAGAGGCAATGGAAATTTAAGGGAGAGGAGGGTTAAAGTTAGGGTCAAATTAGACAATATATTTATGATGAGTTTTACATAGCTGCTCCCTCAAGTGACTAAAAAAGCTATATTTCATAGCACATGATTTTCTTCACCAACCACATTTAACGTATTTTGTTTTTTTAATTGATTACTGCATGGTAAACATTACCTAAAAGCAAAGGAAGCCTGCTGTATTTCTGAGGAAATCATGTCGCAGAAGCAGCCTAATGTCTAATTTGACCCCTTAAGCAACTGAAGACTTGAAAAAAGCCAGGACGGACAAATACAGAGACCAGAGAGAAAAGACGGAAGGAAGGAAGTGAAGGATGGAGGTACGCTGGAATGAGAGGGGCAGAGACAGCACACAAGGCTTCACAAAGAGCTGAAAATGAGGGGGAACGCTAGATCACATAATGCCATTAAGTATTTAGCTGGACGTTTGCTGATATCTGAGATATAAATATAAAAGTAGATTTGATCAGAATAATTTCAGAGCACAGAATTAAGGAATGTGCAGAAGGAAGGCATTGGGGGGGGACCTAGAATGCACAAGGTACAGGACAGTATCTCTGTCCAAACAGCTCTCCGGCCAACCTGACCTAGGAATCCCAAGAGTATGGATCCATCACAGGCCTCACCAGGTTCTGATCATCGAAGGCCCCTGAACAAAGCTCCTGATACAAATCGGGGTCTATGTGCAGATCGTCATCCGACAGAGGTTCGGGTGTAGCAGACGATTCTAGCTGTTCCTTTAGCATCTGTAGATCATCCTCCCGCCCCCGTAACATCTATTGAGCATTTGGGGAAATGGGGGAAAAGGGTGGGAGAAGGCAGTGAGAGAAAAGGGGGAAAGGAGAGGAAGAGAGGGAGAGGAAAGCATTAAAGAAGCCATCGGTCTGGCTTCCCAAGCACAAGGCACTGAAACAGCACAAACACAACCCCTCTCTCCCTCTGTGCGCAGCAGTGGTCAAACAGAGAAAACAGGGCTCGTGGTCAAGCAGCAAAAGCGCGGGAAGCAAAGAGAACCCCAACACCCATTCATTTTTTCCAAGATAAAAAGAAAAAAAGGAAAAAAAAGGAAGAAGGAAAAAAAAAAGAGGCTCAGAACCAGTTTAAATCAGCAGGGCTCCACTGCCCAGCAGCCACCTGTAGCTGACAATACAGAACCAGGTGCTCAAGAATCCAGCCCTCCCGAGGCCAACCAACTAAAAACCAGACTTAAACCTATACATGCTGCAGAAGGAAATGGGAATGAGATGATGGTGGGGACTTGCCCACTCGGGCAGAACTTGGGGATATCGTCGGCGAACACTCCCACACATTGGAGGTGGGGAGAGAAAAGCTTACTCCCTGCAAGAATAACAGAAAGGGAGTGCAATCCAAAGGAAAGGCCTTCCCGAATTTTCCTTTCCCCATGCGAGTTTGTCTTCTAAGAAAAAATATTACAGACTTTTTTTGGGGGGGGGAACTAGTTAGAAACAGTTTTCATTCCCTGCAAGAATAACAGAGAGAGCGCAATCCAAAGGAAGGGCCTTCCCGAATTTTCCTTCCCCCCCATGCGAGTTTGTCTTCTAAGAAAAAATATTACAGACTTTTTTTGGGGGGGGGAACTAGTTAGAAACAGTTTTCGAAGAGGAAGCTGTGTTAGTCTGTGCTAGCATATCAGGTCAAAAATTAAAGAAAAATGTAAAAAGAAAGACAAAAGTGTTGTGGCACCTTAAAAAGTAACTGCTATATTTTAATGTGAGCTTTCGTGGCATGTCTCAGGAAGTAGACTGCTCTAAAAAAAACTCACATTAAAATATAGCTGTTAAGTCTTTAAAGTGCCACAATGTTTTTGTCTTCTTCTTTTTCTTATTATTTTGTTTGGAGGCTGATAAGTCAGAAAAAAAACTATAATTAACTCCTGCTTTCAGTGACTAGGGAATAACTATATTACATTACAATTGTAACACAGGAAGGGACTCCTTCACTCCTTTTATGATACAGAATTGTTTGTTTTGTCATTAATTGTCCAGGTACAGAGCATGTAGTCTCATTACTTGGGCCAGGAGCTTATGCCATTATGATTGAATTTTCTAAAGTTACTATTGTATAGCAGGACCATGATATCCATGGGGAATCAGTTCCAAGTCCCCCACATGGATGCCTTAAAAAGTGGAAATAGAAATACAGTGGTGCCTCGCTAGACAGTTACCCCGCATGACAGTTTTTTCGCTAGACACTGATTTTTTGCAATCGCTATAGCGATTCGCAAAACAGTGATTCCTATGGGGGAATTTCGCTGGACAATGTTTGGTCCCTGCTTCACAAACCAATTTTTGCTAGACAACAATTTTGACAGCTCCTTCTGTGCTCGCAAAACGGGTGTATTCAGGACCTAAGCTTCGCAAGACAGCTATTTAAACAGTTGATCGGCGGTTCACAAAGCAGCTTTCCTACGGCTGATCTTCGCTAGACAACGATGATTCTTCCCCATTGGAACACATTAAACAGGTTTCAATGCATTCCAAAGGGGAAATGCTTTTCGCTAGACAATGATTTCGCTAAACAGCTATTTCAGTGGAACGGATTATCATCATCTAGCGAGGCACTACTGTATAGCTATATATAGCATGCTCTTGCTCCTTCTGGTGGCCAGTTCTGCTAAATACATTGTGGGGGTTTTTATTTAATATTTCCAGGCACTGGATATACGAATCTGCAGATACTGCTGCCGTGGAGGTTCTATCCGTACTAAGTTTCGAAGCAAAGCATTTCTTTGATATGAATAAATTTCATGGTAATTAATCACTTTAACTATAACTAGTTCCTTTTATTAAAGTAACATACCAAGCTCGGGGCTTTTTAAATATGTAAAAGCAATGTACTTCACTTGCTCCTGAAGAAGCAGAGGCTGATAAACCCCTTTGGTGACCTCGTTCTGTTGCATGTATAGGGCCCTCCTTATTCTGCTCCCCTATCTAGGGTTAAAAAAAACCAGGAGTCCCAGCTTAACACTCATCTATATTCAATCCTGAGTTTTAAATTAAAGAGAAAGCAAAAGAAAAAAAACTGGAGGGAAAAAGGAAACTTACCGAAGCTGGAAAATATTTATAGGACTCCTAGGAAGAAAAGAATGGGAAACAAAAAATCACGTGTGAGCTAGACACAAATCAACCGCTTCAGTCGGAGGTGGCTGCCCCTCTGGGGTGGAGCAGCCAAGAAAGTGCCCCACAGAGAAAACATGCAATGACCGCTGGGCAGCAAAGGGCCCCCAAGAGACACTCACCCGAGCCCGAACCTGGCACTGCCTCAGGCGGCACTTCTGGCGAATTTTGTTGGGTCCCCCAAACTTCTTCATGTCGCGACAGAAATCACACTGGCCACAATCCTCCGTGCGCCGGCAGGCTTCGCATTCGCCGCACATGCGCGCCGAGCGCTTGATCTGCAGAGGGCAAGGTAGTGAGAAGACAGGAAGCAAGGGAAGGAGACGTTGAGCCCCCCCCCCAGCCTCCACTACGCCTTACATGCAAAAGCCCCAATCTGTGGCAGGTCGTTCTGTCAAGAGTAATAATGACCAATAAAGCATGAACTCAGACGACACATGGAGATGGATCTCAAAACAGCCAAGATTAAAGACAGAACCTGAAAAAGGGAAAACATAGCCCAGATATGGGCAGGCAGACCTCCTCACCAGACTCCTATGGGGATGGCACAGGCTTCCTGGCCAAAGCACCAGGTGAAACTTTACACTCAGAGGACTGAAGAGGGACCAGACTGCAGAAGGTCATGGAACCAGTCCCTGAGATCACAAGTCAAGAAAGGTTTCAAGAAGCAGGGCTAGGCTGGACATTTGACTGAAATCTTCATAAGCCACTGTCAGTCACAGCCAATATTATATGACATGATAATTCAATAAATATATATAAAAAACAGAGCCCTGTGTTTATATTCTTGTATTCAACTGTGTCCAGTTTTAGGTGCCATAATTCAAGAAGGAACCATAGAAACTGCTGGATAGCTCAGTGGTTTAGGAGAGGTTGGGAGTTTGATCCCCCACCGTGCCTCCTTGAGAGGGGTTGAACTCCATGATCCGTAGGGTCATTCCAGTTCTAAGATGATGATGATCATTATATAAGGATATTGAGAAATTAGGACATGTCTAGAGGAAGACACCAAGATAGTAAAATGGCCTGAAAATAAGCTATAGGAGGAAAGGTTCAGAGAGGTGCATCTTCTACACTTGGAGAAGAGAAGCCTGGAAGGCAATATGAGAGCTATCTTCATATCTGGAAGGCTGTCCCATGGGAAATGGAACAATTCATGGGACAGGGACCAAGCCAATGAATTCAAATGACAATAGAAGAGAAATCAGCTAACCATTAAGAAGGACTGACTGCCAATAACAGCTGCTTAAAAGAGGAAGAAACTGTCAGAAGGTGGTGGTCTCTACATCATGTAAGTATATGAAATGAAGGTTGGAAAGTTCTCTGCCAGAGATGCTTCCGCTGTGGATTTCCTGCCTAGGCAGGCAAACTGTTTGGATAACTCTTGGATCTCATTTAGCGCTGTATGGTTTTACAGGCCACAATCACCACACCGTCAACTTCCAAAACATATTTCTTATTTATTTGCTGCTTCCAGACTGCTAATGGCTTAAAGAGGGCTTTCTATCTTGATAATAATTAGGTACAACTAAGTTGATTGTGACTTATGGCAACTACTTCCAGGGTTTTCTGGGTACAGAATACGCAGAAGTGGTCTACCATTCCATTTTTCTGGGGGTGTTCCAAACATAAAATAGTTCACCTGTAGGAAGAAGCCAATATTAAAAACCAGTGTAATCCGCCAGAAACAAAACAGCAAAATACTATTTGAGCAGCCCTACAAGAACATGGCTCTGGCAAATAAGGCATTTATTTTCTAAAGCCGAGATCAAGCTGCACTGAAAATTTCTACTTCCCTCCCTGGCAGAGCCTACAAAAAAGGCCTCCTTTCTTGATGTGAATTTGGGGGGGGAGGAACATGTGGGTTGTTACTTTTAGAGCGTGGTCTACTATTTGTCACTAGTGCACTTCTTTTTGAATAATTTTGCAAAATATTCTTTTAAAAATAAACCCAGAAAATTATAAACATGGCTAGGAAATCTGTGGAATGATACCCAAAACCTAATGTTTCAGAAGTAGCGAATAAATGGTCATTAACTTTAAAAAGAAAGAGTCTTTAATAATAGTTCCAGTTGTTACACTGGTTTTTAAAATTATACTGGCAATGTTGTTATCCAAAAGATGGAGCACTATCCATATTAGGACCTGATGATAAGGGACCATTTTAAAGCGACAAATTTTGCCTAGGTATCTCCAGTTACTGATCTAAGGTATACAGCGTCAGAATTTTCTATGTCTGGAAATAATGACAGAGAAGCAGAAAGAGAAAAGAGAGGGAAGCAGTCCTTTGCTTAGCAGTTTAAATCTGCTGTTCTAAATGTTTCGGATAGTACAGTACAGTGTTACACACATGTATGGCCAAGTTCACAGGGGTTTCCCCGATTCACTAGAGTGTTTGTTGTTCATTAAATTGGCCCAGCACACAACCAGCCACACAAAGGACAGCCTGCTGGAGAAGAAGATATTAAGAATGATTACCCTTCTGTTCTTGGTTTCCCTAACAAGATTTTGCCTTTGGACTCATCCAATGACACTGCCATAAACAACTTACAATTTTGTAAACCTTTCCACTATATAAAACTTAATGTTAGTTAAAAAAAACACCAAGGTACTGGTACATTGGATTTTCCCAGAAATCTGTAATTATGGATACCAAATTGAATTCTAAAACTACACAGTGGTGTCAACAAAATCCTGCTGTTACCACCCAGATATCCTATGAACAGATTCTCTCAGCTCTGAGCGAACAATGGAGTAAGCAAGAGAGAGAGGGAAGAAAACCAAAAAAACTTAATCTGTTCTAGCAAGGCACTGATCTGATCTGTAGCATATACATGCAGCTTCTTATTGGGTTACATGTTCCACTTTTGGCAGGAAAGGAGGAGAAAGAAGTGGCTACTACAGCAAAATGACCAAATGAACACTTCTACTGAATGGCTAAACTCCACATATAATTCTACATAGGACCTGTTACACTCTTGGGATGATCAAAACAGCCTTTGTACCACCTATCAAAAGTAGGTACAGCTGAACTGAAGGACACAAACAGGGCAGAGTATTTACCTGAAGTCCATCCAACAGTCAAAAAATGACTGTTGGGACTCGGCAGTTGCTCCAGGGTTCTGAAGGATGTTCAGAACTCCAGCTCAGCATATATACTAATATTCTGGAGTGCTTAGCATGTGGCTGATATCTAAGACTTATCAATGCTGAAATCTTACTTTTGAGTTGCGACTCTGTTCCAGAGCTAACTCCTGGGCCTTCGCCCGCAATTCATCCTTCTCAGCACGTTCCTGCTCCCCCTCTCGGTCCTTCTCCTTGGATTTCTTATGCCTGTAGCGAATCTCAAGTGTTGGATCTCTCTCTGTAGAACGAAAAAGAGAAACCCATTAAGAAAACTCACAGGTTTCAAACCCAATTTAGAAAGTAGCCTAAAATTATATGTCTTCAACAGGATGGCCACCTAAATTTGAGAGTACAACCCTCATTATTCCCAGCCAGCTAATGGTCCTGCTGGCATGGAAAATGGGACTCGCAAGCCCAGGGCACCTGCAAACTGCCGAGTTGATGAAAACTGGTATAAATATAGCAGCAAATGCAGCTTTGTCTATAAAGCTAAGCTAGCCTGGTCCAATCAAACATTTGATAAACTTCCCAAAATTATGCCTGTCTAAGTAAGGAAGAACACAATAAACCTCTGAGAAGTACAAACAGAACCATATCAAAACTTCCAAAACAGGGTGCATGGTGAGAAGGGGACCTCAGTGGAAGAGTGTCGGCAATCGGTTTGTAAGATCTCCATAAACAGCTATTTTAAATGCCAGTTAAAACAAAAATACAGTAAGGAAAATATTAAGCTAAAATGTAAAACTTCCATTTATTCACACAGAAGCTTTCTTACAGTATTTTAGCTTTTTAAAAAAGGCAGCTACTTGTCCTAAAAATCCAAATTGCAAGAACCTGGAGTTGTTTTTTTAACTGATGTAGTTGCAAACATCAGAGATAATACAAACATGTGAGTGCTAGAAACAAAATCTGGATGTTCAAGCATGTTGTCTGCAACAGAAGTGTTTCTTGAAGTGTTTGCCCAGGATTAGGAGGCCCACCTCTAATCCTGACACCATCTGGTCTTGCAACTCACCTCTGCACTGCATGCAGTACCACTCCCGAATGGCCTTTGCCATCTTCTCCGTAATATTAATGCAGTGTCCATGGAACCATTCATTACAGTGATCACAGCCTCTGGGAGGGAGGGAGAAGAGGGAGAGAAGTGAGGTTTCTCTGCAGAAAGTTGTTTTGCACTTGAGTAAACTGACATGGGAGGGCTCATTAGGCACCCTCCCACTGACATGTTCCCTTCAACAGGACAGGCAACCATAGAAAGCACAGCACTCTCTTCCACAATGGGTGGATGACAGGTTAGAATCTGCTAACAAATCTTTGGGTGACTGGGTAGTGTAGCAAGAGGCCATGACTCCTCATTGTTGAAAAACAGCAGTAACAAAAAATATCTAGAGTAGGCTGCTGAAATGAAAAGGAAGCTGAGGCGGATTCTGGTGTGTCGGGGGGGGGGGAGGAGAGGATTCAGAACACATGTCCAGAGGCACCATCTCCTTTCATCTTACACTGCCCCACTTCAGAGAGCCCATACTTTGCTTTTGATGAAACGGAGAGTTCTAGCAAACACTCAAAAATGATTGTGTTATTAGCCTGTCATCTGCCTATTATTATTCCTGTGTCATACATTATTTCACATTTTCTCTTGAATTAAAAAATACAATAAAATAAAAAACAATGCCTCCCCAAACCTATCGGAATATAACAACACCCAGAACAACCTGACTGTAGATGGCGGGACATCCTACGGCTCACAAGACTTTGTCAGATTATTTCAGCACCTAAATTCCTCCCTTCCATGCCACATATAAACAATTGCATGCTTCGGACATCTTTTCCTCCAATACTTACATCATGAAGCAGTTGATGTCAGGCTTGCGACAGATGCAGTAAACAGGTGCATTCTCCCCATTCTCTGATTTGGACTCTTCACCCAAAACCCCCAGATCAGGATCAGAGAATTCATCCTAGGAGGAGGAAGAAAGAGGCGCGACGGATTAATGGTGGCAAACAGCTCGGAAAGGAGAGTGAAGAACCTCACTCTGGTCACCCTCATTTCATACTCCACTCCGGATGACAGCACTTCGGCCGCAGCCTCCCAGAGGCGCTTCGCAGAGTGTTAAATCCTACTGGGCAACAGGAGGACTTTGTGAAAAAGGCCGGAGGAGAGGCCAAGAGTCCGATTTCAAGGGGCAATCGGGAAAAAGTCTCCGATTCGTTGCCAAGGGAATCTTGTACACCTGCTGTCAGCCAAAGGAAACAAGGCTTGGCCGGAAAAGGAAACGGGCGCAAGCTTCGCACCTTCACCCAAATCCTTTCTCTCTCACACACACGCGCGCGCACTTTCTTTGCAAATGCTCGGGGTCAGAAGAGATCGACCGAACCCTGAAGTTAGTAAAGGGGCGCAGAAGCCCCTCCGACCTAAAAGCCGCCGCCGCCCCCCCAACACACACACACACATATGCAGTATATCCAGGTCCCGCTCCCCCCAGCGCCTCCCGCCCCCTGCCCGGAGGGGGCAGAACCCGCGGCCTCCCGACGGGGGACCGGACTAGCCGCTCACCATCTTCGCCCCCTTCTCTTCCAGCCAGTTCCCTTGTTCTGAAACAAGACAAGGGGGGCTGACAATGGGAGGCCAGAGCGTCTCTCCGTCTCGACTTCCGCTTCCGGTGTGAGCCGAACAAAGAAGGAAAGAACATCCGTCGCCCGTGCCCTTTCTAAAGGTGGCGGCGGCCGACATCTTGCCCCGAGGCAGTCTCTCTCGCGTAGGGAAGGCGGGAGCGTCTTTAGGGCTTCGGCCTAACGCGAGAGGAGGCCCGGCGTCTCCTTCCTCTCTTCTCTGCTGCTTCCGGGGCCGACAGCTTCGATAGAAGAGGAGCCGAAGCGGCTGGAGCGTTTGCGTTTGGCTGTGAGAGGATCAGGGACGAAGACCTTGGGCTCGGAGGAGGAGGAGCCGCCGTCACGGCGAGGGCCTCCGAGATGGGCTTTTGTAAAGCGACTGATAGCCGTACCAGTGGGATGGTCACATCCCCCCAAAAAGGGCGACGAAAGAGGCCGTCGATCTGCTGAAGGTGGTCTACTCTAATGTAGATGGACAGGAGGAACCCCCCCCCGGTATCTACTCACACACACGCCGCCACCACCCCGCGCGGATGCTGAAAAACGCGGATCGTACCGAACGTTTTATACATAGCATGGTTTTTGCCAAGCTCTTAGTGGCCAGTTCTGGTAACAACTTCTTTAGAAATATAGTATATTTTTAGGATTTTTCTTTTAATATTTTCAGACTACTGTATAGGTAAATGAATCATTGAATCCTGATCCTGCAGATAAGAGGGTACAAGATGCAACACTAGAAATGATTGCCATAGCTTAACTGAATTGTAGTTGGGCTGGTTGGAGTTGAGAAGGCAGAGCAGGAGACCTCTTGAGTCTCCTTGGCCAGAGGATGACTGGGAATGGGTAACTTCCAGGCTCCTGATCTGTCTCCGTGTTGGTGGTTTTTCTTAACATCTGTCTTGGCTGGAGAAGCTTGCAAAGAGAAAAGAGCTGTGACAGCTTTTCAAAGGGAAGGCTGCCCTTCATGTTAAAAAAACGAGAGGTGGCCACCCTCACGGACCAAGCTGTGAAGTACAATGCCCACATCCTGCATATTTTTGACAGTTGGAAGTGTCTCTTCAAACTATTTCAAGGAGAGCTAGATAATTCATGGTCCCAAAGGGGGCAAAAGGATTTCACAAAAGGTTTTAACATTGTAAATTGTCAGAGACCATTATGGGGCCAGAATATGACTCAATGTTGTAAATGTACGTACTTTTTTTAAAGAGGCGAAACCTCGTGGATAAGTACGTACTTTTTTTAAAGAGGCGAAACCTTGTGGCTCTTTATTATGTTTTGTATTCTTCTATGCTTTTGACCAGTTTTATTTTTCCCCATGTATTTTCCTTTATTAAAGATGCATTCTAGTGTATTTTCTTTGTTAAAGCGACATAGTACCTTATAACTGGATTACAAATATGTACAGGGGCTATTATGTAGCAGCCCTTCATAGGAGCTAGAGTAACTTATTTCACACACAAAAAAAACATTTAGTTTAGTATTCAATATACACTACTGAAATTTAAACTTCAGATTAATTTTTTCCAACCTTTTGGGGTAGGGAAGAGTAGATTTTTATGAATTTATCTTACAAGCTTAAGTATTTGCAGATTAGATGTTTGATGTCTTTTTATTTTAATATGCAGCTGACAGATTTAACATTGTCAATGACTTGTATGTTCATCTTTCTGTCCCATCATTCCCTCCAGTTCAAGAGGTTTTACTGCTGCTGCTATGTGCTCTCAAGTTGGCCCCCCAACTCATGGCAGCCCTATGAATTGAGCAATCTCCAGAACATTCTGTCTTCAGCAGCCCTGCTCAGCTCTTGTAAACTGAAGCCGGTGGGTTTCTTTCTGGAGCCAGCCCATCTCACATTTTATAGCCCTGCAAGTGATATAACTAGCACACACAGGCAGGGACAGGTTTCAAATAAAATCCTATGCAGATAAGATTGGTTTTATTTAATTTCATTGTTGTTATATTTTATTATCTTGCGGTAAACTGCTTAGAACAGTGCTTTACACTAATGAAGTGGTGTACAAATCTAAGAAATAAATACATAAGCTTAACTAAAGCCAGAATTCATGTTTTTTTAAGTGTAGAAAGCAATTATGTGAGGCCTTGAACAGAATCTCAGATTTCATGCTGGATCGAAATCCTAGATCTGTAGTTTCTTTTAGTAAGTGACAGTGAGAAGAAACATTAAGAACTTAATACAGTAATGAGTTTTACTCAGTGTACTTTATTAACAAAGATAATGGCCAGAACCCAACTGTCTATCTATGCCTGTGCAAGTGCAATGCGATAACTTGCAGTGGAGAATAGCTGCTAATTAACAAATTCCCAATCAAAATCTTAGTCACATATAGTCATTAAACTGGCACACTAGTAGAAATTCAATAGGGCTTGTTAATCAGAAGCTGTTTGCTGCTCCACTGCACTTACACAGGCATAAGTATTCAATTTCAATTCTGATCAATAGCAATTTATGAATACATGGCTAACCAGAATTGATTGTGAAGCACTCCACAGGGATGAGAATTTTTCTTGGTGCCAAAAGGAAGACTTCAGCTCACATGAACCTGCCAAAACAGAATAAGAAAGGAAATATGAAATGAGGGCATTAGCTCTGGAATTCTTACAGCATTTCTTTCCATGCAGTGAAAGGGGAAAGAAGAACTGCATTCACTAGCAGCACAGATCTAAACAGTGCTGCAATTCCTTTAATCCACTTCCCAAGAATTTTTGGCTTGGCTTGCCTAATCCTAATTGATAACTGAGATAATTCTAATGGTTTTATTGTTAAGTGTTGTTTGCTTTTAAGGATATTTGGTAGTTGATTTCAGTGCTATTTTTCAGTAAGAAATATAATTAAACACTACTTGAAACCACGTCATTCTACATTTTTCTTGGCTCTTCCACAATCACCAGCACCTCCAGTTCTTTTCTCACTTTTTCATTCATCATTTCTCATATGGCCATCCCTCCAATGCCAGATTATTGTCTCCTCCTGTTATAGTTTACCTCTACTAATGTACAGCAAGGATTGGAATTATCTTGTTTTACATATGTTTGATTGCAGGGCTTATCATTCCTTACTGCTGGCTAGGGCTGATGGGAGCTTTAATCTAGCAACATCTGGAAAGACTCATGTCCTCCACTCCTGACATACACCTTCTGGTTTGGGACTGTCCAAACCACAAGGACACTTAACTTGTACACCATCCTCTGTGGCAACGTGCAACAACATAAATTAATCCTCCATAATTCTGACTTTCTCCATTTCCAAGTCCTCCAGTTCTGCTTTTAATCTGGGGGAAAAAAGGGGGGGGGAACTAATCTAAGTATGCAGGCAGGAAAAAGCAACTGAAGAAGATAGAACACAAAGCTTCAAATTTTGATGAAATATGTAGGGAATTTAATCAAAAACACAAAATTGTGTATTTGGGTTTCAACCTTTCCAAATAACAGATCTGAGTGCTTCAATACAGGGCCATGAGTTTAAAAGGGGTAAGTTATAGGCTATACCCAAATCCTCTTTCAACAACCATACTCTATGTTGTAAGAACAGAGAATTAGGCTAGTGGCCCTTTATCCCAGCCTCCCAGACCAAAAAAAGAAAAACCCTCTGGAAGCAAATCCAAGAACTGAACCTTCACCTCACTCATATTTAGCACATTCCTGACCTGCTCACCTATTACATCTCTGCTGCAAATCAGAGTTGCACTGTGAGGAAGTTTCCAGATATTCTTTTGCTTTCTTATTTTCTTCTTGAAATAGCTCCCTAGTAATGAGAGGGAGACAGTCAGAGGTTGGTTCAGCCAGATTTTTCTGAGTATGACTTCTTTTCTAGGCAAAGTGTTATGTGTGGTACATAGATACCCATTTTAGGAGACCCTGATGGATGAGGCACAGGGTAAAAGAACCCAGATCTTCCAGTGGTTTCATGTGCTATTTAGCTCATAGCAATTATTGCTAATTGCTCAACAAGTGCTTGCTTGCTTAGTTTTAAAAAATTGCCAAGCAATGGTTTTATTGGATATGCAATAATAGTAGTGCGGATAAGTGGGGTCTAAAAACAGGGCTGTTCCCAAAAAAAAAAAAATTTCAGATGACTCTACACTCACAAGGCAGCCGCAGCCTCCTGGCTCTTCAGGAATTTCTTCTCCTCACTGAAGGTGGACTGGCTCAGCAAATCTAATTCATCTTGAACACTAGCCAGTTTCCCCTGAAGCAGTTTCTCTGAGCGAATATTGCAAAATAGAAGGGTGTTTTAAGGTCCTGTAAGTAGCACTGGCCTCAGAAATTAGCACAGCTTTGTAATAACTAGTTATCAATGGTTCCCTTTTCCAATTAATAAATTAAAAATACATTACATTGTGGCCCTTTTTTGTCGGCGTAACTTGAACAATAATTTTTGGTGGCAAGTTGCTGCAAGTTATGAAGTCAGCGTAACTTGAACAATAATTTTTGGTGGTGAGTTGCTGCAAGTTATGAAGTCACTGTAGACATTAGTTGCACGCTGAATTGCACTGTTAGACAGTAGTTGCATGCTGAAGTCTGTAGACATTAGTTGCACGCTGAATTGCACGACATTATGCATTAGTTGGGCACTGAGTTGAATTAAGCAACAGATAAGATCTACATTGACTTCATAACTTGCATCAAATCACTGCCAAACATGACATAATTTATATTATTCTAGCAATGGAATGTTGGTTAATGAGTATAATCTTATGTCCTTTGTGTTGCAAGTAATTTTTTAAACTTACTTTTTATAATAGGTATAGGTGCTTGTTAGTGGTAGAGGAGGAATATCACATGGTTGAAGTGCTGGCTCTTGCTGTATTTCATGATACTCCCTGTTGTGCAATAGTAAAGTAGATAGGAGGAGCATGTATTTTATATTATAGACCATTGGCTTGTAACATTCCAATTGTTATTAAAAGTAACCACAGTTACTTCTTGAGAAATAGGAAGATAAAGGGTTCTTTTTTTAAAAAAGGTTTAATTATATTAATAACTACTTTGGGATGCCATGGTGCTATAATTGACTAACTGTTTTTTAAAGTTAATTTCTAAGGAATGGAAATTGCTTTCAAACAGTGACAACAACAGAAGGGAATGTTTTGTTAATTACACTAGATTTAGTTTGCTGAAAATGGATAGCATTTTTCCTGAACAAAACCTGCACCAGCACCAGTACTAGCATCAGCAGGAAAATTACGTCACCACCATGATTTCTGCTGTTTCTCCAGGAACAGGAGGGTTATTTTTTCCCTTTTAAATCAGGGACAATACTTCAGACTGCGACTCATGTTAGCTCTAGAGGGCACAGCTAATGAAGATAGGATTCCATTGACAGTTCAACAACATCTCTAGGGGAGCAGTCTGCCTGCCCCTGTTCTAAAAATAGGCATCAGTGCATGAAATACATTTCCTCTTTTTAAAGACAACTCCTCCACTAGTACTAAAGGGGATGCAACTTCTATTCCTGCTATTCACTCTAGCTCAAAAACTATGTAGCCAGCTCCCATGTGGATTGAGGAGTAGCCTTACTGTGAAGGGTGGGGGAATGCTATTGAGTCTATATGTGGGGAGGGGGAATCGACTTGCATTCAACCAGATACTGTAATTATACATATGAATGCAGCAAGAGACAGGACAGCCAACCACCTCCCTGAATCTAGTCTTCCTCAGTTCTCACCACCAAGAGCAAAGTCAGAACTTTCTCTTTAACCAGCTACTTAACTCTGTTAGAGACAAAGGTAGGCTTGGGATCTGTATCAATCTCATAGCTCTGTAAAATGGTCTTAAGTTTATCCAGGACTCTCATGATGGACCAATTCTTGAGTGAGGGCCTTTGTATATCCCCATATTTCTGCCCAATATGTTATTTGGGGGACTATTTTCCTAACAAATACCTCAACTACAGGGGCAATCAAACTCCAACCCCCATAGATTCTGGTAAATCGCAAAAGAGACTGAGAGTTCAGCCAAAAGTCTTCACATGCCAACTAGTGTAGTGAAGACCATTTGCAATATCATCTGCATATAAAAGGACTGAAAGCTTGACATTCCAGAATGTAAGTAGGAAGAATCTGAGGCCACTCAATTCTTGCATAATATTATTAAGGTAGACACTGAAAAGACAGAAGACCAAAAGACATCCCTGTTGCCCTGTTGGACTTCTTTACCTGTCGGTATTGTCTCTGACAGCAGTCCATTTGCCCCAGATCTGACCCTAAGATTCATGCTTGAATGAAGCATTTGGACTAAAAACAACCACCTTCTATCAATGTTGGTGGCAGAAAGTTTTCACCACAAGCCATCGCTATAAAGTAAAAAAACTGAACTGTCCCCCCAGTGGGGACATAAAGCTCCTTCTTACCTAGTTGAGAATATTTTTGTATCAATTGATGGAGTCCAAAACAGTGACGTTTTGGGACCCTGTCTGTTCTGCTATTACTGAGTTATCAGCAGCCCACACTCTATTTTACCCAGCAAATATTTAGAATAAAGCAAAAAGCAAAGCGTGCTGCTTATATACCGCCCCATAGCACTTCAAGCCGTCTCTGGGCGTTTTGTAAGTTAATTATGCAGGCTACACATTGCCCCCCCCAGCGAGCTGGGTACTCATTTTACCGACCTCGGAAGGATAGAAGGCTGAGTCAGCCTTGAGCCGGCTACCTGGGATTGAACCCCGGGTTGTGAGCACAGTTTTGGCTGCAGTACAGCCCTTTAACCACTGTGCCATGAGGCTCTTGAGTTTGGAGACTACATTGAAGAGACTGATAGGCATACATTTATTTGGATCAGCTTTGAATCCTCTTTTGTGGTTAGGAATAATAAACCCTACTCCCTAGCCCCGAAGTATTTCCCCATGCTGGTTTATAGAAGCACACACTATAGCAAGCACTGCACACCACCAGATGGTATTTGATTTAAACAGTTGTCCTCGGAGCATATCCTCTCCAGAAATTTTGTTACTAGGTAAAGAGATAATCAGATACAGTAATGTATTTAATCAGGAGTGACTGGCTCGTAGTCTAGGCAAGATAAGCAAGGAAGAGTTTAAGCTACAAAGCAGTTTTGGTTTAACCCCAGAATAGTATGTCGAAAGAGTGCTGGAATATGGTTTTGCTACTGTGTGGAAGTTATTTGGTTTTCTAGGGTAGCCATTCTCAACATTTTTTTTGGCCAAATCAGATACAGTAATGTATTTAATCAGGAGTGACTGGCTCGTAGTCTAGGCAAGATAAGCAAGGAAGAGTTTAAGCTACAAAGCAGTTTTGGTTTAACCCCAGAATAGTATGTCGAAAGAGTGCTGGAATATGGTTTTGCTACTGTGTGGAAGTTATTTGGTTTTCTAGGGTAGCCATTCTCAACATTTTTTTTGGCCACGGCCATAAACTAGGCGTTTTGGTTTAACCCCAGAATAGTATGTCGAAAGAGTGCTGGAATATGGTTTTGCTACTGTGTGGAAGTTATTTGGTTTTCTAGGGTAGCCATTCTCAACATTTTTTTTGGCCACGGCCATAAATACAATATGAAAGGAAATATAGACCAAATCAGGATTGTATAAGTCACATAATGAATCTTATAAGGTGGTATGTGAAGAATTGTTTCCAGTCTGTGGCTCTTTTCACATGTGCCAGGACTACCTCAGGGGGGCATAGAGCCCCCGTTGATAATGGCTGGTCTAGGATACCAGAATAAACCCTAATTCCCCTTGACTCTAATGACTAGAACCTAGCTGTATCTCTTTCCAAGGCTGCTAAACCTAGCTCTAGCCAAAATTTCCTTAGATTCTCTTCCTTTTTCTCCCATAGCAAATTTTTATGCTCTCTACACAGTTGAATGACCTGTGGTTTTAAGCAATAAAGCCTGTTCACTAGAAGGGTTATGAATTGTATATGCCTGCAGGATTTTGTAGTTCAAGTGTACAAAATTCTGAAGCTCCTCACCTTCACTCAGCAAACGCTCCTTACTGTCCTTCATCTCAGCAACTTGCTTCTCCCTGGCCTGGAAGGAAAACAAACAGAAAGTAACTGGAATCAATAATAATTTTGCCACAAGGCCAACGGGGATGTGATGTGAGATATCCTTATCACATGTGGAATCACTTCTGGGTCTTCTAAAAGTGCTAATACCGGCCATAAGGAAGGGGAGAGGCAAGAGTTTTGGGGTAAGAGACTAGAATATCGGAGAATAATGGCTACCTTTTTCTTCCAGCATATTTTTGCTTATTAAAATTACAGACACATCCAAAAACTTCAGTCTGCCTAACAGGGAAAAGTTAAATATGTTACACAAGTACCTGCAGATTTTGTTCAACAGGAGGGCAAATACAAGATTGGAAAAGTTAAATCAGAAAATACCACAAGAAGCAACATCTGTAACAATGTAACTAATTTTAAAGTATTATATGGTCTACTTTTAATCATGAAGAAAATATATATCTGAGAACTATGATTCCAGCAATAATCCCCACCCTTCGTTATAGTTATGAACATTTTTTTCAAACCACAGAAGATGTATGGATCTCTAGTATCACACCTAATTTCACATTTATAGCTATATAGTTCAGGCCAAAGAGAAAAACCCAAGGGTGCTTACATAAAGCTCCCAGAGACTCTTGTGCTTCTCCATCAGCTCATCAAGCAGCTGCTCAAATTCCATTCTGAAAGCAAAAAACAAGCAACATACTAGCTGTTAGGTTTAGGGAGCTGCAGTTCAAAAAACCAATTCTTCATAGTTGTCATAGCTGACTAATAGTAATTCCTAGGTCATTCCAAATTTGTCTTTAAAAAATGACAAAACTGAGCCATCCAGATGTCACTACACTGGAACTCCCAGCATTCCTAGCCACTGGCTGCATCAGTTAAGTCCAATGGAAGCTGCAGTCCTACGACATCTGGAGAGCTGTACTTTACTCATTCATGGTCTTAAGAAGTGTTTTCTTAAAGTTACCAAAGGAAATGGCAATCAGTACCCCTTGTGTCAAGAGTATGCACTGTGTGAGGTGTTTCTTGTCAGAGTTTGGAAATAACTAAATAAAAATAATACGTTACTTATACAGTAATTAGTTATTTTTCCAACTATCATAGTATTACATAGAGTGGTGTAACTTATTTTGCAATGTATCTATAACTCTTCTGAGCTTCACTAAATGATTAAAGGGGAATATAAAATGGTTTAGGTAGTAAATCCTCCTGTGACTTGTGCAATAACTCACAGGAAGAAATGTAGTTCCCTTTTTATGGGGAACTACATTTCAGTTACTTCTTCAGGAACAAGCAAATAATTCCTTTTTTAAAAGTTTATGTAACTACCTGCTTGTTTGGAGGTCTTGATATACTAACTAGTTATTAGACATTTATTAACTAAACTTAATAAAATTACAGTAGTTATTTTTTATGTTACACTTCCAAGCTCTGGTTAATTCTTTTGTGAATCCTAAAGCTACCACTAGTTAGTTAGTTAGTTAGTTAGTTAGTTAGTTAGTTAGTTAGTTAGTTAGTTAGTTAGTTAGTTAGTTAGTTAGTTAGTTAGTTAGTTAGTTAGTTAGTTAGTTAGTTAGATCTTATGACAAGAGTGCTGTAATTGTGAGCAGACTACAGATTTATAAATCGTCCTCAAGACATGCATTGTGATTTTATTCTGCAGCATGTGATTTGTGGGAACACTAAGAATTCATATCCTCCAACATTATCCAATGAAACTCAAGTTTATGACTTTCTCTACAAAACAAGGCATTAATTGAAATCAGGAGATGGAGTAACACGAGATTTTTCTGACATGGTTGTTAATTTCTAGAAATACCTCTGCTCACTTTGCTTCAGTTTCTCCTCCTGGATCTGGGCTGTGATTGCCTCAATTCGCTGCTTACATTCTTGGTTCAGCTGCTGCTGCCTGATAAACAAAGCAAACCTATTCTTCAAAGGGGGAGCTTGATCTCAAATATGTAAGTAAAAGTAGAAATTATCAAAAAATTTATGTACCTACAAAATTTGTAATTCAATCTCAAACATTTGACAGCAGGCATAGACCTCAATTAATGTCATCCAGCACATGTAGAGCTGCACAGAGAATAATTTTGCTTTGTGTCAAGGTCCTTTTGACATGGGAGGGGTGCCACTTTTTAAAATGTTATAGTGGTTCTATGCCATGTTCTGCCTACCTGAATGAACTAACTGCACAGCGAACAGATGCATTGCTAAAAGCACTTTGAGTGAACTAGTCTAACTGGATCTAGAGAGAAAAAGCAGCAAGCACCAACAAAGTAAGCTCCCAGAATGATATGGCTTCCTAAAAGCTCCTGTTCCTCACTGTCATTTTAAAAAATATATGAACACAAGCTATTTTAGCAAGCCACCCCCAAAATCCACCTTCCAAGCTATGCTGGAATTATAACTACTTTAGCATTATAATTTTCCTACAAAAACCAAGGGAAAGAAAATCCCTAGGAGTTCCTAGCATCCCTTGTTCTAAAATGATACACCTGTCCTCGGCCTTCTTTCCTGTATCATTTCTCACATTTGGCCTGGCTATAATCTGAATGGTACACAGCAGGTCGACAGGCTGCTTCTGAAACATCCTGCATTGTCTGTCAAATGTAGTTAATTAATGAATGGGAAAATATAACAAATGAATATCTTTTTTTCTATCAAAGAAAAGGATTATACAGCAGCGGTGGCAAACCTATGGCACACATGCCACACTTGGCACGCAGAGCCTTCTCTTTGGACACGTGAACCATCAGTCACCAGATTGCTACTACTCCCCCGCCCACAGCCAAACCTGAGAAGGCGGCTTCAGCTGTGGTGCTGGCACCCTGACAGGCAGTAGGCTGGGATCCAGAGCAGCTGGCGCTGGTGGCGAATCTAGAGTGGGGTCTCAAGGAACCTCTGTGACCGGGATTGCCCCTTCCACTGCCACTTCCACCACTGCCACTTCTGCTTCTGCCACCACCCCCACTGTTTTTCCCCCCAGTCTGGGCACTCAGGCCCAAAAAGGTTTGTCATCACTGCTCTACAGTAATCTCATATTGGCATGACTTGTAGATCTGAAACCCTTTTAATTACAACTGTAGTTTAGGTTTATACCTCTTTCTCTTGCATATAAACTTCTCAAGGTTCAGTGTTATTTTCTCCCACATTCAGTAACAGTTTTCTCTTTGTTTTAGAAGAGGTAGTTACATCAGCTTGTGCTAGCATATAAGGCGATAAATGAAAAAAAAATTAAAAAATGAAGACCGAAGCAGTGTGGAACCTTAAAGACTAACTGCAGTATTTTAATTTGAGCTTTCGTGGGCAAGTCCACTTCCTCAGACCTCAGGTGAAGGATAAGAAAAGGGCAAGTGTGGTGTCTTATTCTCAAACAGATGAGCAACATCTCACCTCTGCATCTTGGCTTCTGCCTCTTCACAGTGCAACTGCATGACCCTCAGAGTCTCTACAATGCAGATAAGTGTTAGTGCTTAAGGCAGAAATTTTCTACATAACATTTCCATAAAGGCACAGAGCTTTCACCAGACATTAACATTCCAAGTCGCCACAAACCAGAAGACTCCCTTAGGCAATCTCATTTAAAAACTACGCTATGTTTGCATTCAAGCAACTGACTAGTTTGAAGGATTTAAATTCAAATCAGGAAAGAGTTTTAGGGTAATGAAAAATGTCAACTTAGGGTGTTTTTAAACTGAGGGTTCCTACTGCTTACATAGTCAAAAAACACTGTGCAGCTATTTCATTTCATTGAACATTTTTCTCTCAAAAGAAAAAAACACAAGAAATAGATGAAGTTGCAGAATGAAGATGATAATGTCTAAATTCTCCACAAGCTGCAGTGAATGTAGCATTCTGAGGTAACGAAAAAGTACAGTGGAGATTAAACCCGGTCTAGGAAAAAAGGGAGTATCCTTGCAACAAATGTACAACTGAAGGGATTATGTTGGGATGTATGTTAAAAACCATTGTGCTGGTGTCCTCATATAAGCATTCCTGATCTTGCTATTACCTTTCTTTTCATTCCATGTCTCCTCAAGGGTTAACTTCTCAGCATTCACTACAAGACAACAAGAAGAATTCAGATTGTGCCTTTGTAATATTATGAGGGAGGTTAAGTGGAAGAGGCCCCAGGTGATGTTTTCCTGCCACCTGAGCAAAAACTGCACAGGCTGGAAAGAACTGTTGCAGGTAATATTAAGGAGACTCATTGAAAATGAGCTTTGGAAAAACAACTGGAGAAGATCTTAGGAAGTGCCAGAATAAATTTCCAGCACCAGTAAAAATAGTTTGCAAAAGGGTAATATAGAAAATAGTTTAGACAAATCTTCATCAAGAGACGGGATTTCAGAAGGCTAATTATCTTTTTAAATGTGTATTATCTCAAAATGTCATATGACAAACATCAGGCTAAAAGGAATGAAAGAGATCAGTGTGCTTTTGTAGCAGTTTAACTTCTGTCTTTGTGGAATGACTGTAGCATGACCACAGTGTTCCCACAGAAATGACAGGAGCACCTGCATTGGACATTACCAGGACAGGAGGACAAAATGGGTATCAGTCATGTAATAGATTGGAAAATATTGAAACAGTTAATTAATTTCAACAGTCATATTTTTAATTTTATGCAGCATGTGAAAAGCAAAAGACTAGCTTGCTCAGAGATTCAGTGAGAGCGTTCAGCTGGATCTTTTCACTGGGCTCACATGCCAACAGTCCAGCACAGTACTGTAACTGTGAAATCCTGTACAGAACTACATCTCAAAAGTACAAACAGCTATTGAATCCTGATGATAGGGAGGGAGAAAACAGGAGACGTGAAACTTGACATCCGGCTCCAGCAGGTTTTGTTTTTGTTTTGTTTTGCTACATTTCCAAACTAGAGCTGTAAAATGTTGAAATGTCTGCAGCAAAACCCATAGAGGTTCCACAGCTGTACCCTTAAGTCCAAATTAAGGTTATTAAATTTTGCTATAATGGAAGGAAGGAAAACTACACAGGATTAATTTTGTAGATTCAAAACAGACTTGAATTGAAAGGGAACTTTTCCATCTGGAGCAAAACATTCTGCTTTCCATCTGCATAAGCAGCAGATGGCTCTGTGTCACCAATGTACAGTATCTCAGTGGGGCTTTAACACAACATAAAGATGTGTAAGAAAAGCACATAGCATATTCCGGTGATAGTCTACAAGTTGAAGTAAATAAAAATATACACTTAAAAACAAACATACTACAACATTATGGGGATGATAATGTTTGGGCTGTGTGACAAATATGCCTACATTAATCACACAGCACATATATTATAATCCATAACAAATCATTATGTTACAATTGCCTACATTTTTCCAGTTCCTTCTGTAGTGTCTCGCTATGCTCATTTGCCTCAGAAAGCTCCTTACTTAATAGCTTCTTGGCTAAGAAAAAAAAAACACAAGTTCAAATCTCCATTGTTATGAAACACTGTGAAGGAGGTGCTCCCACTACCCCGGCTAGCTGTCCACCATGCCTTTACATCTCCCAGAGGAATCATGCACTGGCCCTGACAACAGACCCGACAGGATAGGATAGGAAAAAGAAGCATATGGGTGAGAGTAGGGGTCAGGAACACCTGGGACAGCACAGATGGGATAGCAAGGGTGGATGTGGGAATAAGATGGAAAGAGGGGAAAGAAAAAAGAGGTCATGGGAGGATGCCTGGGAAGAGTCGATGCCAGTGTTTTGTGCCTTGATGGCAGCACAGCCAAATGTCCTGTGGAACCCGTGGAATGGAGAGTTGGGTGAGCTTTGGCCAGGGACATAGACATAGGGGTGGCGCACCCATCTTTGCTTCAGTGGAACCTCAGAATAGCTGACCTTGAAGACCTGCAGAGATTCACCCATCTGGATCCCACCCCTACACAGCAGAGACAATACCACCAGAAGCTGCACCTCACACAAGACCACTCAACAGTTATCCAAATTAATAAAAGCTGTTCACGAACATCCCTGCCCTGGTGTGTCTAGAGGGCCCTTTCTGGGGGCTTCCCCTTTGGAAGGGACAGTAGGGCACACATACAGACAAAGTTAGAAGAGAGGGAGAAATAGTTGTGCCAGGTAAGGGTGATGATCTCGTCCACTGCTCCTGAAGGGGGATGATGTCCCGCTCTGCAAGCCAATCATGTGTAATTAATAGCTGCAAATGTTTACAGGTCTTGGTAATTCAGATGTCCATCACTCTTGGTCAAAGAATTATACCGTGTTTCCCCTAAAATAATCTGGGTCTCATTTTACCCACAGCATGTTTTTAAAAAAACTTCCCTCTTGCTAATTGGACTCTTAGGATCAACTGACGTGTACAAAGGACTGTACAAGCTTCAGAATCAGAAGGCTGTGCGCTTATATTTTATACCGTATTTTTCGCACCATAAGACACACTTTTTTCCCACAAAACAGGGGGGTGGAAAGTCTGTGCGTCTTATGGAGCGAAAAATACGGTATTTCTCTCTGGGAAAATTCTGCCTTTAAAGTTGCAGGATCATAAGCTTTAGACTTCGTAACCTTTGTCCAAAAGTACTGCCTGCTTTCCAAAGGGGTAAATATTACTAATCCTTCTGTTTGCCACTTACCTTGCTGCAGTTTGTTTATCCTTTTTACTAGTTCTTCAATTCTTGGCTCCAGATTTCCCACTACAAAATGAGGAAAAGATCAAATTTCTCCTTAATTGTTTATGTTTTCAATTTAATAAGTAACCTCTTAGGAACTTGCATATGCAACTTGATTCGTGTCTAGTCCGAGACATCTTGCCATCTAAGGATAAGATGCCCACCTGCCCTAGTATTCCATACACAAATGATAACTAGATTGCCATTTGAATCTTACTTCAGGAACGGCACATAGGAACGGCATACAGTACAGTATATACATCCTGAAGGCAACATCTAGGGTGTTCCTGGTCAGCTTGTACGGCACCCACAGCTCTCTGCCTCCCAGCATTTAAATGATAACTAGATTGCCATTTGAATCTTACTTCAGGAACGGCACACAGGAACGACATACAGTATATACATCCTGAAGTCAGCATCCAGGATGTTCCTGGTCAGCTTGTATAGCACCCACAGCTCTCTGCCTCCCAGCATTTACCATCCAAAACAGCCATTTCACTCTGCCTCATGGTATGGTCATTAATTACCATTCTTCCTTTATGTTATTATATCCATCACAGGATCAGGGCCATAACTCATAGCTCTTTAGCATGAACAGCACACTCAAATTTCTATATGTCTAATAATTTTGACACCACTTTTGATGTTTCTCCTGCACTAACTGAAACTACAACTGATTTCTTCCTTTCCACGACAGGAACGTCACTCCCCACATTTTTCTCCCAACTCAAACCAAATATTCCATTCTTCCTGCCTTCTGCACTTCTGGTCAAAACAATACTCCTTTCCTTTCTATTTATTCCTTTTCCTACTTCATTCTATGAAGAACAGAGTACTTGTTTGTATATCCTCTGCAGGGCAGGAAATCTGTTACCACTCTGCAGGTACTGTACAAAGTCTGATGATATGTTATTCTAGCAGGGCAGACCTTAACATTAGGCCTCAGGATGCAGATGCTGGAGGTTGGCATATCATGACAAGGTCTAGGGGACAGAGCTGTCTGTGTTTTCCAGACTATATTCCCTTTGCTATCTAAAGGTGTGGCTACATTGACAAATACTGCAGGAGCTACCCACAAGAGTGCACAGCCTGAGGCAGATGAATTCTCATTGAAAACTTGCTGTTTGTTTTTTGTTCAAGGCAGATGAATTCTCATTGAAGGCTTGCTGTTTGTTTTTTGTTTTGTTATTTTTTTAGTGGTCCAATAAAAGTGTCACCTGTTCCTGCACTTATAAAGCATGTAACCCTAGATCATATCTGCTGCAAAGAAAACCCAAAAATTCTGTATCTAGGGTGTTAGTCTTACTTGCTAGTCAGAATTTCTCTTCTGGTGCTGAGAAAATGAAAATAAAGTACTTGCACATCCCTTTCCAAACAACTCCCATTTCTACTCTATTCCCTTAACACACACCCCTTTCCCCAACTAGGATACTTAGCTTCTGCTACATTTCTCTCTAACTGCTGGTACTTCTAGGGTCAAAATACCATTCTGCATTTGTTTCACAAGTGACAGTATCTCCTCCATTTTTGATGCAAAATCCCAGGGATCTGGAGAATGAACAAAAGCAAAAACAGAATTGTCTAAATATTATCACAACCCAACTTCTTCCTGTGACAAACCCAGACCTACTGGGATCTGCCACACGTTAACTAAGCTGCCACCAACCATTCCCTATAAGAAGTCACACAGAAATACCATTCTGCATTTGTTTCACAAGTGACAGTATCTCTTCCATTTTTGATGCAAAATCCCAGGGATCTGGAGAATGAACAAAAGCAAAAACAGAATTGTCTAAATATTGTCACAACCCAACTTCTTCCATCTAATAAAATTGGTAACTCACTTTTAAAAAATGTCAGAAATATTGAACTCTGACCACATATAGGTTTTGTAAAGTTTGCTGAGGAGAAAAGAACTGCCATCTCAGTCCCAGGTACCACTGTGATGCACAGGACATAGTGGTTACAGTACTGTATATAGATGGAAAACTGGATCAGTTGGGAAGGGAAGTGGCAAGTTTCTCAGCAATTGATCATCCTCAGAGGTTCTTCATATGCTTTCTGACACTTTCCAGGTAACTTTCAAGGAATGGGACATTTCTGTGGCAGTGCCCAACTATGGGGGAAAAAAACCCTCTGTGTTTACCTCCATGACATTGTGAGCTTTCAGATACCATGTGAAAAGACCATCCTGTTCACACAACACCAGCTTTCTGAAGTATGAACTGTCCTTTACAGTTGCCATTTTCTTTTGGTTAATTTGCTAGTTTTCTGCTTTTGATATGCTGCCTTCTACGGCTTTATGTTTTTACTGCTTTGCTCTAAATATGTTTGTTATTTATTTTAAAAGTAACCCTGAAGATGGCTTAAAATAAAAACAGAATACATTTTTCAAATAAAGTTGGAGCACTGCTTATTTACTCATTATATGAATTGATAGCTGTTAAGCTTGTGATTTCTACAAAACATACCTGTCACTATACCTCTTTGACTGATATAATTTGGTGCATTTTACTTGGATACCAGTTTGAATTAAGACATTAAATGTTCCCCTTCTTTTAAAACACTATCAAAGCTGTTCTTCATTCCAAAACTTGGCTATTGGTCTCTTCGTTCGCATACTTGAATGTAAGATGAAATGTGGCCGTTTGGTGACCCATGTTGATTTATTATATTTCTGATGGTCATTTTCTCCCACCTGTTTTTGAACTTTTAGTACACATTTTTTAAAGATCTTAATATTTCATCAAAGGGAGATTTAGCCCCCGAAAATCCATAAGCAATATTGAGAGAGGGGGGAATATACCAGCCACTCCAAATGTCTGGCACAATAGGGAGCAGAACTCTACCTGCAGTTCCCTCTACTGTTTGCTGGATTCACAACATTTCCTAGAGCTGGAAGGGGAAAATATTGCATTAGTACTATTTTGCATGTGTTAGGGTGTGGTTACATGTTTTTTTAAAACAGTTTTGAAGCAGGTTTAACATGTTTTAAATCGCTTTTATAAAATCTGACCATATGACACACAGGAAAACATGGGTGATTTTTTTGCCCAGGAAGTGTGGAGTTTTGGGTCAGAAAATGAAGTATTTTATTCATCTGTGAGAGGGTTGTTTATTTTAAATCACTTGTGAAACTTATTTTGAATTTTTTTTGCATATGGGAATGCTTCTGTCAGTGTAAATTGTCTCTGGGGTTTGTCAAGTAATGCCAGGTTGACAGGATTCAGACTGTAGGGAAATCTTGCAGTCCAATCCACAATTAAATTAGATTGTGATAGATAGAGAGGAAATATATATATTCTATTTGTAATATATATATTCTACCTATAATATTGATCTAGAGCAATTCAAATATTAAAAGAAAAACACTGCAGCAGCAATGGTGATTGGCTGTGAGAGGCAGGCAGCACGTGGTCAGGACGAATACACAACACAGTTTAAAAATGAATTAAAAGTTTTTCCAAGAGGACATACATACCAGCCCCAAAACTATGTGACTTTACATCAACTTCAAAACCACCAATCCATCTCTTGATTCATTTTCATGGTGTAACCATGCCTTTAATCAGTTTCTTCTGGCTGGATATCAAGCCTGAACTATTTCTTTAAAAATAAAAGCTTGGAAAACTGGATACAAGGAGAATGTTATAAACATCTGACTAAACTGCTTCAATTTATAAGGAAAACAAGATGCCTATTGGGGACCTGTCAGAGCTTTCTGAAGGGGCCACTCCTTTCCCCCCCTCTCTCCACCCTCCCTCCCAACAAAAAAAGAGAGACTTTTCTTTTCATCCTCATGCCTTTTAAACTTTAAAGTCACCTTCTCTACAAACTCAAGTCCAGAAAATGAACTACAACCGCCATCAAGACACAACAATTCAACACAGCTGCCTTTTTGAGCACCCTGTCCAAATCCATTGTTGTGGATATTCAGATTTGTTGAGTTGTACATTTTGGTTTCCATTTGTTTGCCTGTCTCACCCACATTCTCACCCAGATTATTTTCCTCCATGACCTTGGGTGGCTAATTTCACTCTGCGCCCCAAAAGCTTCCCAATCTGTGGCTCCGCCCTTTTTTGGGCTTTCCCGCCTTTTCTCAACTGTCACTTACATGAGGCTCCAGCAACATCTCAGAGCAGATCTCAGCAACAGGCTTACTTGCTCCTCAAATAAAACAGGTGTTACACTCCTCAAATAAAACAGGTGTTACACATGGGGCAGGATTATTGTGCACTGCTGACTGCTGACAGAGAAATGTGTGGGGCTCATGCCAGCAAACAGTGTAGCACACAAATGTCAAAGCACTAGTTTTCTTGCCATTCTGAGCAAGCAATGGTGGCAATCAGCCTCATAAGGTGCAACAAAGTTGAAATGGACTGTGCTTGTCATATTGTGTTACATAAAAGCCCTCGTAAGGTTTTCAGTGCATATAAGGTATTTAAAGAGTGGTTTTACCAGCGCCAGTCCCATAGTCCTAGTCTGACACTCCATTGACTACACATCACACTAGCTCCAACATAAAACATACAGTATACTGTAAAAATAAACACAAATTGCAAGGCTCATGCCATATTTTCAAGAATGGCCCTGGTGCAAACACATACAGTATACTGTAAAATCAAACACAAATTGCAAGGCTCATGCCATATTTTCAAGAATGGCCCTGGTGCAAAATTAATATACTTAACCTCTATCCTGGCATAATGTTATCTATTTTGAGGTAACAAAGGAAGAATAGGGCATGGTGATCTGAAAACGACAGCCTCCATTATGTGTGGAAGTTCCCCACACAGAATCACAATCCCTAGAAAACTGGAGTTCCCAGTTGTGTGGAGGCCTCCATGCGTAAAGGATACTTTTCTCTTCAGACTGTCATTCTCCAGATATGTAGAGCAATGATGGAGGAAGAGCAACTAACCTCCCCTTCTTCTGTGATTACTTTAACCAGTCGATATAATACATGAATAGCTTTTTTAAATTAAATAATTAATCTGGTCCTTTAGTATCAATTTGAGGCTTTTTCTGTTTCTTTTATTCCCACCCCTTTTTTCCTTTTTTCTTTTTTTGTTCCTCCACCCCCCCTCCCGCCCCCTGTTTCAGGAGGGGCAGCCAGGGAAATACCACAGCTGTGAATTCAAATATCATAATTGCCACCCATTTAGCAACTTTGGGTTTATAAGAAAGCAAAAACCGAGTTTCAGTTCAGTTTTGTGGCTGGCTGACAAGAAGCCAAATGCACAGCTTTTTTGGATATGGAAACAATGTTGTTGGCGCTGTTTTATATGAACTTCTCACTGAAACTGGTTTTGGGTCACCAGTTCTGGTGAGGAATTCATATAAAATAGCTCCATCAGGCTGGTATCACTTGATACTTTTTGTAATGCAAGCAAACCATGATTGCAATTTCCAGGCTCCCAAAATTAAAATCCTAGGTACCCTAGATGGCAGCATAGCCTTCCCCAGCCAATTCATGCACTTTTACTATTTTTCTATCTGATCCAGTCTCCCCTAAAATAATTGGCCCATTTTAAATGAGCTACATGGTTATACAACCACTATTTCTGTTCTCTGTGGTGATTTTTTTTCCTGGAAAACGAATGGAGGAAATTCTCATAAATTCCACAGGGAATAAATTACAGCTTAAAAGTGAATAAAATAAATTAAAATATCAGAGATATGTACATTATAACTACACAACAACCCATTTCAGCCCCAACAAATGTCCACATTTCAGAACACCCATTTTTATTAGAGTGGACAAAGAGAACCACAGTAAAGAAATGTGATGATCAAGAAAGCTCACTTCAGCCCACACAATACAATCTAGTGGCTATATGCATGGTTGATTCTAATGTGAAACTCTGTATGTTTCGAGCTTCTATGTTTTTGTTCAAAAAGATTTGGTTCCATTTCCTGTCCCTTCCACACACACACACACACTTTTTAAGAGCCAATTAAAGTTTCACTTCCCTCCAAAGAAACTAATTTGAATTGTCTAAGCAAGAGGTTTACAACTGCGCTGATGGCATTTCCCTATTATAGATGTATCAGGTCAGCTGATACATAACAGAATAGATTTTACTTCAGTACTCCCCAGGTAAACTTAAGCAACCTCTAATTAGTTGCTTTACTTGCTTGTGGCAAGTAAAAACCTTTGTCAAATAAGTATACAGAGAAGTTCTAGAAAGGTTGGGTAGTAAATCACCAACCTCTGTTTAGATAGAAATGATGACTAGTAAAACAAAAGAGCTAGCAATTATTTATATGCCTTCAGCATTTAGTCCCAGGTACTCCTAATTAAATGAAGCAGCAGAGAAATATAAGTATTTTTGTCAGTACAAGCACCGAGAAAAAGCGACATTCCCAAGAAAAGAAGCATTTACCTCTGCATCTGAAAGAGAAAGCCACTTTTAAGATGATGTTTGATAAGACGTGTGTCTTTAGAACTGCTCCCCCCATGAGACTTATACAGATTGATATAAAAAAATTAGACTAGTGGTTCCCAACCTTGGGCAACCCAAATGTTCTTGGACTGCACTTCCGAGGAACCCTAGATAGTACAATTGTTGGTGAAGGCTTCTAGGAATTGCAGTCAAAGAGTTGTTGGTGAAGACTTCTAGGAATTGCAGTCAAAGAACAACTGGGTTACCCAACCACTGAATTAAATGATCAATCAAACCAATACAATCAACCAAGATTAAGGCAATCAGGCAAGAGTCCTACCTATTGCCAGGGCTGTCACTGAGGATTCTTGGAAAGGGACAGAGGCATTTGGTTCTGACACATTAAATAATCTTTTGCTAAACATACTAGCAGATGGAGAAAGAAACAGACACACAGGCATAGGGAACTTATTTTCAAATGTTTGTATTTAATAAGATACTTCCAGTTCTCAGTACATCAGTTCAGCCAGAAATATAAACCCCCATTTTCTGCCAGCCACATGGTGCATGGAGTCACTGTTGTCCCCTTTTACCAGGGCAGAAGAAAAAATGCCAGCCAGAAGCAAGCTGAGCGAGCAAGCACACCCTAGAAGGGATGCAACAGCAATAAACAGACCCTGCAAAATAGCATAGTTCTTTTGCACACGGCAGTATTGGCCACTAGGGTAAATCCAGTTCAGTGCTCAGCCCACTTCATAACTGGTAATAATAAGTAGTACCTTTAGATAAACATCTCAGGTTAAATCAAGCCTTATTCCCGACACACATAAATACATACTACCCCTTATCTCATCATTTAAAAAAATCACAGGGGGGCAGGATTACCCGGCTGCAGAAAAAAGAGCAGAGGCACCCTGTGGACAAAAATAAGGAAAGACAGAGACAAGAACAGACCCAGTGGAGCAGCAGCAAATTTATACAGGGCACATATTTGCACAGCAGAGCAGCACCTGCTCAGGCAGGAAACGGATGCAACTATTTTGCCTGTCAATCAGGTGTTCACGCCTTCTTCTGAGAAAACTGTCCCAACTGGTGGAACATCCAAGAGAAAATGGACCTGACAGGAGGAAGAGGAGTTATTTTGTCAGTACCAAGCCCAAATAGGAAGGTTACCATGGGTCTGTCTGTCCTTCCCAAGCTCCAAATCTACAGTAAACAGGAACGCAGTTATGCGGGAGTGGGGCAGGAAGGAAATAGTGGCACCTCAATGCAGAAAAGCAACTGAGCTCCCAAAATTCTGGAACGGGAAAATAAGGGATGAAAAGATGTGAAGGAAAAGACAGGAAGGGAGTTATGAGGGACATTAAGACAGCTTTCAAAGCTAGTTAGGTTTCAACTTAAGACATTTTTTTAAAAGAGTGTCAAAATTCTGTCATGATTAATTACATAGTTTAAACCAAGTCATCATATATAGAAAGGAATCAAAATACCAGAAGGATTGCAAATATCCTTCACATACACATAACAGCTTCTCATGGTGTTAGAAAAACAATTGAAGCAGCTTCCCAAAGTCATGAGGGAGTTGTAGTCCACAAGAAGTGAGATATAAAGAGTCTTAAATTTAAAAAAAAAATACTGATCGTTCCAGGATGAAAAATTCTTTGGAACTGGGCTTCTTCATTTACAGTGCTCTCAAGGCAGCATTAAAGCGTCCAAAGTCAGCTACCTTTTCAGTAAACACAAATCCCTATAACTTATGTACTGCACAAAAATATCTTTCTCTTGATAAACCAACAGCATTTACTGGATTGACTATGGACAGCCATTCTGGAAAAACTATGGACAATCCAGTAGCTTATTCTAAGGGCAACATTTTCAAATATATAAAATGGCCAGAATTCAGTTGTATATTTATAATGGCATTAAGTCCAACTGTGTGATTTGCAGTCTCAAATTCCCACTAATTAAGAAACTGGTGCTTTTTTTTCTTGTCACGCACAAAGTCATACAACTGGTAAGCAGTAAGAAATAAACAGTGTTTACCCAGATATCAGCACCTTGCCACTGAGATTTATGCTACAGGACTTGCACCAGCAGGTGTTAAGTAACAGGATTCTGGTCGTGCTTCCTATTTGCTGATGTCTCAGATAGAGCCCTGGGGTTCTTATTATCATCTGTTCAATTCTTTTACTGTTCTAATACTCAGAGAAATTGAGCAAGCCTGATTCCTAAGCTCCAAATTCTTCTTCAAAGGAAGCTAGTGGCATTCAGCAAGCAATCAAAACTTCTGGTAAAGCAAAGGGAAGAGTGAAAAGTAATTTAATTCCTCAGTGATCACTGTCAGTGGTGTGACAGCACTCACAGAGAATTCCAACCCACTAGGCTGCAGACTAGATGTCAGTGTAAACCATATATATTCAGGAGGGATCCATACAATGTCCTACACCTTCCAGTTATAAGCCACTTCCATAGACAGAAAAGTCTCACACTCCTTAGCCATCTCCAGTTAACTGCAGGGCCTCAGTTCAAGCCCAACATCTCCTGCTAAAGACATGGCCCCAAAAACCACAGATAAAATAAAAATTTAAAACAGCAGGCCAGAAGCTTTGTGGACTTACCACCCAAATAACAGCATGGCCCAACAAATTCTGATTCTTCTTACCCCTATCCCACCAAGACCCTGCCCAACTTGTGGAAAAGAAAGCCGGAAGCTCTTGCCATTCCAAGAGAAGTTCCTCCACTAAGACCTGTATGTCCGGGGAGGGGGGGCACCCAGGATGCAGTTCAAGATGAAGTTCCAAATGAGTGAAGTCCCAGGCCTAGAGGCCTCCAAAAAACCCATTCTCAGCACCATCAGTTCGGGACCCCTTGCTCCCTTTAGCAGGATTGGGTGTGGTGGAATATTTGGGTGGATAACGGATGAAGAGCCGGTCTTCTTCCTTCTTTATCCAGCGCAGCAGCTTTGTCAGGACGTTGATGGCTCCAGCTTTGGTTACCAAGGGACTGAAGCAAGTATACAATTCAAACTTACTCGTAACCTAGAAAAGAGAGAAGTGGGAGGGAGGACAGACATTCAGCTGTCAACTAACCTTGAAGCTCTCTACAGGCTATATGGCTGTAAGAAGAAAACATATAGGAGGGATGGAGAATGTAAAGCCCTCCAGATAGTCTTGGACTGCAGCTCCCACCAGTACAGCCAGTGGTGAGGGATCAAAGGAAATGGTGCTGAACAGTATCTAGAGAACCACACGTTTGCCTGGCCTGACTTATAAAATAGGACAGTATTTAGGGAATGCCCGGGAAGTGACAGGATTTACCTATTGTATTCTGTGGACTGTCATTTCTCAGACTTCCCTCCTGTCATTTCCTTTCCTGCCACATAAAGGAAATTCCAGATATTTTCTCTTGACCTACAGAGCACAACAAACTTGGAACATTTTTGTTCTGTGCCAGTACAACAGTGTGGCTGGGCCTTTTAACAAAATCTCAATCCAGATTTATCTAAATCTGTGGTTCCCAACCTTAGGTCCCCAGATGTTATCATACTGCAATTCCCAGAAATCCTGGCCAGCAACAGCTAGTGGCGAAAGGTTCTGGGAGTTTTAGTTCAAGAACAAGCCTGGAGGAACCATTGATCTAAATTAAACCTACCTGCCAATTTTCAAGGTGCTACCTCACTACTTTGTACTACAAATCAACCTTGGAGGAACCACTGATCTAAATTAAACCTACCTGCTAATTTTCAAGCTGCTACCTCACTACTTTGTACTACAAATCACAACTTACATCAGATTTCAAAACCTATCTGTGAATAAAAAATAATTTAAAAAAATAGGGAAGCCATTCACGGGGGAAATGAACCTTCTCTCCAATCAGCCAGTCCTTCCCTGCAACATGTCTTCCCCAGATACAGTAGTTGTCTCATGATGAAAAGAAACTGTATATTAAACCCCAGTTTTTCCTCACAACCTGTAGTTCCACCCATGGACAAAAAGGGAGCTGTAGAGTCATGCCTCACCCAAGCCAACAGAGTCTCCTTTTCAGCTACGTGGTAGATGAGACGTAGAGGGCGTGAGGTACTGTGGATACGACCGTGAAGGTAGTGATAGAGATCAAAGAGACGGTGCCGTTCGCTCTCACTGCAGTAAGGCCCCTCCAGTTCCGGGCTGTAGTGGATAAAAAACAATACATCAGAGAATGAAAGGTTTTAGAATTTACCCAGAGAACTTTTTACTTATCCACTGAAAAACTATGAGCAGTGAAAAACAGCTGGTAAAACTGATTGACATTAACCACAATTCAATAGTCTCACCATAACAAATACAAAAAGGAAAAATAAAGCACAATCCCAGAATAAGTCTATAAAACACCTTAGAATCAAAAAAAACCATTCAGGCTCTGGAATTCTTCACATGATTACTAGATGACTGCTATCTAAAGCTATGTACACCCAGAATTTTTATAATTCCAAGTCCAAGAACATAAATCTGCACAGATCTTGTGGTATCTGTAGAGACAACACTAGAACACCAGCATAGCTCCAGTCCCTACCTACAGCCAGCCAGTCACCTGCATGTGATGACATATATATAGGTCAGCTTTTGGCACAGCACAGTGAGAAGTAACTCTTCAAGCCATTATACTGGTTTTCCAAATCTGATTCTATGCCAAACAACCCCTGTAATGGGCTGCCAGTAGACTGGCACGGGTGTAGTTTACTGAGCCACACATCAAAAATAGATGACTGCAACTCCCATCATCCCTCAGCACTGGCTATACTGGCTAAGGCTGATGGGGGATAAAAATGGATAAATGATAAAAAAGATTGCATATCATTTCATATATCCAACTCTTTTACGTGAGGCTGTTTCTGGTTTTGGTGCTGTTTCTAATGTTGCCTTCCTTTCCCTTCCCTAGAAGAAATAGCAGGTGCTTTAATTCTATCAACAGCATTCCTTTAGAGCAAGGTTGGACCAACCTCAGGGGGCTTAGGTACCAAAATGTATGCCCCCAGTTTTTTCAACAGGTTACCCAGAACCCTAAAACTGTCATTCTTAGACACTGAAAGAAGTAAACAGGAAGTGACCAGACAGGAACTAATTTTAAAAAATATTTTGAGATGCTGGGGGCTTTAGGGGACACCTTCAAGATTCAAAAAGTGAAAGATGCTCTTCTGAAGGGCCTGCAGGAACAGAAAATCAACATTTTTAGTTTTAAAACCCTACTTTTTGAAATGAGGGAGGTCTTAGAAACCTTATGGAGTTGCAGAAATCTCAGGGGACTGCATGAAATGGAACAGCTCAGTTTCGTTTCTTGTCAGTTACTTTCAAATTATACAACATTAACTTTGAAATTATACAACATTATCTGCTAGCTAGGAGCTCATGATGCCCCTTCCTCACATTCTGCCACTCTCCACAGTCTCATGAAAGATTCCTGCTTCCACACAGAGATCTTTGTGGATAACCAGAAAGTGAAAAATGACACATGACATGTTCTATTTAAAGCTGTAACTGAATAAGGCCAGACTAGTTCTTCCCACATCCTCTGGGTGAGAGTCATGGGGAGGGGTAAAGGAGAGAAGGCATGCCCTCTGTATAAAGGTCTGCCTGCCCCAGAACCAAGCCTAACTGCCCTGGTCAAAAAATATGGGAGTGAGAAACAAATAGTAGGACTAGTCACCCAGTTCTCAAATGGAAAGTACTTTGGAAATATGATTATGTTGACACTTGCATAATTTATTTATTTACTTATTTATTTTTTATTATTTATTTATTAGATTTATATACCGTCCATCTAGAATGTGTCTACTCTGGGCAACTTACATATAATATAAAAATAAACTAAGATAAAATCCAGATTAATCCAAGATGGGAATGGAAAAAGAAAGAGGGAGGGGGGAAAGAAGGAGAGAAAGAAAAAGAAGAAAAGGGGAGATAGGCTAGGGACGCAGCTGGGTGATCTGCCGAAGATGTAAGTGGGCAGACCGAACCACGGACGCTACCTGGGTCACCATGGTAAGTGCCGGGTCAAGATGGACCCCCAGAATGCATAAGGGATTATTTTGACAATTTCATCAGCCAAACTCTAATGCAACACATGATCACACAGTGGTGCTGTACTTTTTCATTAATGGCTTATATGTTTTTAGATTTGGTGACATAGTTGTGTTATAATATTAAAATTTACTGACAAATCCTGTTCATGGAGCTGTCCTATGTAAGACTGATGATGTCATTAACCACAGCAATTTTTTTGGAAATAAAATATTTCTCCCACCCACCCACAAGAAATCCTTTTTATTGGGGAAAGCCATTGGGGGTCATGGGACAGGCGAAATCTGTAACTTCCAAAATTCACTGGCAGTGGGAAAACTTTACTGGCAGCTTCATGTTTTGGAAATTAAAGACATCCTCCTCTGTCCCACAGCCTTCCAACAACTTTCTCACAACAAAGAGGATCCATGGAACCCCTCAGGACCCTTGAGTGTGGGAACCAGAATTTTCCCCAAAAAATGTCCATTGCTGATTATGTCTTCAGCCTTATGCCAAACAACTCCACAAACAGGATTTCAGCCACTGTGTTCTTAAGTTGTAAATCGCCTCGGAGAAAGCAGAGATGTTGTTAACAATCATGAAAATTACAATACTATCTGAATTACAAGGATGCTTCTATGCATGAAAAGCCTCCACTTTATTATTCATTCCCTATGTGAAAACAGTGACATCAGAGTATGTCTGGGCCAGAGCACTACCCATATTTTACTTTTTAACTTAAATTAGTTAGAACGCTTCAATAAAGCTTGTATTTAGAATCACTTAACATTTTTAATATTTCTAAAAAACCCATCAGATTAGTTTCCAAAAATTTCATATCATGTTTTTCTGTGCTGTCAAGCTGGGTCTGACTTATGGCAACCCTACTAGAGTTTCAAGCTGTGTGACATATTTAAGGACTGGTTTTATGATTGCCACACACACATGTGAGTTTCCATAGCTGAACAGGGATTTCAACCAAGATCTCCTGAGTCCTAGTCCATCACTCTAGGCCACTACATCAGACTGGCTCTTACTGTCAGAATCTCAGGATTCTTATTTCATATCATAAACCCAGAAGAGGTTATGCAAGCTGTGATTATTTTTACTTATAATCTGTAATTTGAAGACTGGCTCTGAAAATATCAAATGTTTTCCTAGTAAGAGCACTGTGGGGCAAGACAAGTTTAAACAAAGCAAGAACAGCAGAAGGATTGGAGAAGTAGGAATAGCAGAAAATTTGCTCACTCGTTGCAAGTTATTCACTGACATTTTTTTAAAATTCCTGTCCAAAATCAGGACTAATAACATTTCCTCCCTTCAAATGAAATATTCAAAATCTCAGCACCATGCAACATGCCAAAGAAGCAACTGCTGTATTTTTTTCCTTTCCTTTTTTTTAGAAATCTAGCCATATAATTTCAGAAACATGAGATATTAGGCCAGATATCACAAGTTAGGATGTGACAATGTGTCTCCCAGGAATATCCAAGTGAATGACTGCAGCAGACAAATCATACTAGGACAAAATCACAAGGAGATCATTCTCTGCTGGGCTTCCATTTGACGCCTGTACAGAGCCCTCCTTGCTCAGAGCAAATTCCACCCTCAGAGAGCTCCTAATTACCTGGTGAACTGGGGAAGCTGTCGGTAATTATCAGGTATATCCAGGGGCTTGTACATAAAATGCCGGAGGTCAGGCACCCCCACTAACCCCACACTGTAGGAAGGACTCCTTAGGCCACTGGACAGTGCCTGCAGGTAGTTCTGAGTCCTCATGCCTTCCTCAATGCGTTTCTTGCAGTCTGAAACAGAATAGAAAGACTCCTTGTCCGTGGACAGAAGGATGAGGCAGACAGTACATTCTGCGTCCAAGTAAGAAATATAAGCATAAAAATAACAATCAGGGTTGAAGCGTGGCAAGCAAATGGGTGTCCAGATCTCCCCTGTTTGGAAGGCAGAGGTTGCCCCAATGAGGTTGAGCAACAAGTGCAAGTCAGTGGGTTCTAGCCGGCAGTCTTCAATGACCGCCTTCTCCTGTACCGTGGTGACCAGCTGGCTCCGGGCCACTAGAATGGAAAAGACCAGATTGGGTGTGATGGCCTTCTGGAGCAAAGTACCCAAAGAATCACGCAGAGAGGCTGGGAGGGGAAGACAGCGCACAGCGCCAAGCAGAAAACAAGGGTCCGACTCCACCAAGTTCAGTAGGCGATCAAGGATCTTCTCTGAGCCCGTCAGCAAGCGTCGAAGGTCATAGTTCTTTTTCCGTTCAAAGATGCGAGTGATGCTGGCCTGAGTAAGCATGCTTATGATCTGGTGGTAGACATACAAGAGCTCCTGTCGCAGCTGCTGTTCTGACTGCAGAGTGCGTGACACTGATACGAGGACCAGGGGGCCTTGCTGCACAAAAACCAACTTGTGATCATCTGTGGTGGGAAGCAGCAGAAAGATAACCAGTTAAGAGCTGGAGCAAACTGAGCTACACATAACATGGTAGAACCAGGGGAAAGACAGACCTCATTTCTTACCCACTCAAGCCTCTGAAAGCTTGGGAACAAACAGGATGGTGCATTTTGGTTCAATCTCGTACGAGGCCAAGAAAAAGCAGGATGAGGTGCTGAATTTGCTTCCAGTTTTTAACTAAAAGAGGACTGAACCATAACCGAAAGCGGCCACCCACCCACTTTCGTTGCTCACGCACACATCCACCCACTTATATAAACACCCAGACACACAGTTCATTCATCTCGTCTTCTTTCACCTCATACATTCAATCTACACACTCTCTAAAGCCCTCCCAGTATAATCTATAGTAGGACAAAAATTTCAGTTGAGCCCTGTGGTTCCCAATATTGGGTCCCCAGACCGATTACAATTCCCAGAAATCCTGGCCAACACAGCTAGTGCTGAAGGTTGCTGGAAATTTTAGTCCAAGAACATCTGGGGACCCTAGGTTGGGAACCATGGGTGTAGCCTATGGGATACTGTCCCACACTCATGGCAAGCCTCAAACATGAGAAGCCCAATACAGAATAGGAACTGTTTGCAGTTTGAAATTGAGGAGGGGAAATCCCTTTGGAACAAGAGGGTTTCTCCTTCTCCGAGCATAAACGGTTGGTGCCTGGAGGGAGGAGGGATCTAGGACACAACCATCTCTGGAGCAATTACAGTGGAAGCAAAGGGTACCAGGCTTTTTACTTCTTCCACAGTGCCAGGTTCTTGATCCAGATCACTCTGGGATCACCTGTAATGTGTTGTTCTTCTGTACGGGATAGTGAAGGAATGAAGTCTCTCTTTTCTCAGTAAGCACAAAAGCCGAGGAGGAGGCAGGGCCAAGGTGGAGAGATCCCAGGAGCAAGACAGGAGTGTTCAAAGGACATATGCAGACTTCAGGCCAAAGACTCTCTTCCTGATTTACTGTAACATATTTGCTTAGCCAGGTTGGAAATCTGGATTTATGCTTCCAAATAACCTAGGATGTGTAAATTATAACAAAACTAGTTTGTGATTCTGCCTTGTAAAGAGACCATTAAGTCCAAGCAGTACACAAAATAAATCCTTCCTGATATGCTTATCGGTTGCATAACAGTTGATGTGAGGCTAAAGAAAGGAGGAAAGTAACTAAGGGCGTGATCACATGAAGGAATTGTTCCCTACTTATGCCCAAGATAGATTACAGTATAGCATAAACTTGCAATCACACAATGCACAGCCATTTGCGATTCATTTTGCCAGCCAGCAGTGTAACTGCAGTTCAATTGCCACTTGCCAGAAGGCATCTGTTTTTTATTATTATTATTATTCTGGTGGCACTTCAATATATTCCTCAATGGTATGGCATGTATGCACAGTCTTATCAATACTTTTTCCAAGCAAATTCACCAGGGAAAGTGGTCATCATTACTGCCACACAGCTGCCATTCTATAACTTTTTTTTAAGCCAGAGTGGTAAACTTCAGTCTAGACTTCGGTGTATCTTAAATTCTAAGGTACACACATAGATGATTGTACCTTATGCGCATAATATGTACCACATGGCAAAAGTTTTAGAGAACAGGTGTTTTTATGTCATACTGCTGTATTTCAAAAATTTTATGCCTTCTCAGCGACATCCAACACATTCTGCTATTCAAGATGGAAGAAAAGATTTTGTCTTTCCCCACCCCGCCACAAGTCAAGGTATAGAGAATCCAAGACCAGCAGGATTATTTTTTCACCTGAGGCAGGAAATATCCCCCCCATCTCTAGAGCAATGAATTAAACCAGTGGTTCTTAACCTTTGTTATCTCTAGAGCAATGAATTAAACAACTTTTTTCATCACAAACCAAATCTACCAACTGAAGCAGCCATCTGATTCTGGCTTACAGTACTAATGGCCCTGCACCATCGTCACCCATTCATCACTCCACAGCTTATTTAAACAAAGGGGGTGACTGTCCCCCCCAAAGCTGGCGCTCTCTCTAATTACACCATTTCTGACCAAACATATGCCATACTTTGAGGCCTGACTATAAAAGGGGAGCAAAGAAAGTAGATATAATTTAATTATCATAAAACGTGAGGGGATGTAATAGATTTCTACCAGCCCAAACACAGAAGCTGCTATTCTTTAGAAATAAAGCCATGAAGTCATCATTGCAAACAAATACTGTATTTTAAGATAGCCTGACATAAAAATAACCCAACTCAGGTTGTATTCCCTAGATTTGATGGCTTTTATTGGGATACAATCCCACACTTACTTTCCAAGTAGGTAAGTGAGTTAAACTGAACTGAGATACTACATACGTAGTTCCTCAATAACACAAGTACTGTAATTCAATTCACCAATAATGGATGAATAATGCATTTATAGTATAGTAATAATTTAGCAGTACCACAGAAGTTTGTCAAATAGTTCCTCTGGGACATGTTAAGCCACACTGTTCCAGCACAGTGTAATACTGATAAATTACATAAAGTAAGGGTTTAAACCATCTGAAATAGGGCTTAAAACATACAAATCAAAGTGTCATATGGCCGTCTGACAATCAGCTAAATTCTATGGGCACTGTACAGCAGCAAAGGTAAGTATTTAAGCACTTCAACTAATCTCTTGGTCAGGCAGATTCAACTTAAATCAAACTGATCATGATTTAAATTTAAAAAATGGATTCTTGGCTATTTAAATTAGAAAATTAAATTTTAAATTTTAATTTGTGATTTAAAACTCTCAGGTTTTGAGCATTACCTTCTGCAAAGAAAACAATCCTTGCTTTTCCCCCTTTGCCCAGCAAATACATCTCTAAAGTCTAGGTTTCTGTTATCAAAAACTAGTGTTCTCTCTGTGAAATTTAGAAAGTGGTATCAGTCAAGCACTTAATTTTTATACACTGGCAAAGCAGCCCGTCGTTCTTTAACTGGTAATCCTCTTAGGCTTTTCTCTGAATAAAATTAGAGCATGACACGACTTAGCATGTACAGCACTTGGGTGTCCAGAGACAGAAGAATAAATCAAAGCCAGCACAGCAGTGCAGCATGCATTCAGCACTTACTGTTGATCACTATATAATTCTGCATCAAGAAAGCAGATTTTGCTCCCTTTATTAGATACAGAATTTAAATATCATATTTACTTTGCAGAATCTGTTATGCATTTTTCCTGTTTGCAAGGTGATATGCTGGGCTATGAGTTTCCCATGCCACAGCCACTAGAACTAAGCTTTCAAAGTCTCAAATAATTCCAAGCATGTTTTCATAACCATAAGGGCTAGAAATTAATTCTTCACTAGAATTAGCTTTATATTCCTGTATTGTAGTCAACGCAATATTTGTGCTTTTATGTATTTGTAATATACATATTATTTACCTACAGTTGTAAAGTGTTTCACTCTGAAAACAGCAAACTAAAAAAAAAACAGTATAGGTCTCACAGAGAGGTGAGACATAGCACAAACAGTCTACATATTATTTACCTACAATTGTAAAGTGTTTCACTCTGAAAACAACAAACTAAAAAACAACAGTATAGGTCTTACAGAGAGGTGAGACATAGCACAAACAGTCAGGAGAGATCATGTAAAGTCTAATTGAATTATATCCATTGGACTTCACAGAAATCTATAAGCATAATCATCATTCAAGTCTAGGCTCCAACTATAGTTGCTGAAAACAGAAATTGGAAGTTTTTACACAAGTGTCCATGAAAAAAATGGTCATGTGTCAAAACATGATGTGCAAATAATCAAGCACATCTGGAATGCAAAAAGTGATTTTAAAAATATGGTCAGAATCCTAAATGCAACTTTTCAGAAAAGGGCACATTAAGATCCACAGAACTATTATAATAGTAATTGGAAAGAAACAGAAGAAAACAGGAACAAGAAAAAGGAGGGAAAGGAGATCTCTTGCATAAAATGCAAGAAATCAAAGGAAATTTAAACCCAGATTAGTGATGCAGAGATGACTGTTTCCTTCAAAGAAAAATCCTTTGTTGAAAAACTTGCCAATTTAAAAAGTGATGTGGACGCTGCTTACAGAAAAACTGGAAGAAATAAATCATTAGAAGTAAAAGCAACACCAGTAGAACTACTTAATGTTACAGAGGCTAACACTATCAAAATCCCAACAACAATATGCCAACAAATGTGGAAAACAAAATAACTGCCCATAAACTGAAAACATGCAATAAACATTTTATCCAAAAGAGACACCAAATATTGCATTACCTAGAGAATCACTACATTATTTTTCTAAGCAAGTCGTGTGATACTCAAGATTTTGTAACAAAGTCTCTTACTATGCATGGAGCAAGAAATTGCAGATGTTTAATCTAAATTCAGAAAAAAGAGAAGCACTAGAGATTATATTGGAAATATAAATTGGCTACTTGCACATGAATTTTAGGGAAAATCACTTTGTGCTTTATAGATTACAGCAGAGCTTTTGGTTATGTGGATCATGAATAGCTATGGATCATTCTAACAGATATAGGTATGCCTAAACATTTCATAGTCATGAAACATAACTTGTACTCTGGACAAGAATATTCTGTTGGGACACAATATGAAGAAGCAAAAGGTTTTCAGTTGACAAAGGTGTATTTTATCTCCCTTTCTGTTCGATCCGTACACAAAACACATCTTATATCGAAGGTTAGAGTCAAATGAAGGTAGAAAGAAAAAGGGGAACAGGAAGAAATATCAGTAATTTCAGATATGGAGATGACACCATACTTCTGGCAGAACTCAGTGAAGTATCTGCCAATGAATGTTAGATAAAAATGTGCAAAAGCAGTTACAGTTAAACAGTAAGAAAACAGGTATAATGTCCACAGAATAATTACATACTTTTAATGCTGACCATGAAAAAACTGAATTTGTTGAAGACTTTCTATATCTTGGTTCCATCATCAATTCAAATGGACATTCCAACCAAAAATCAGAAGACAGTTGAGAGTTGGATCGGCAGCTACGAAGAAACTACCGTATTTTTCTGTGTATAAAATGACACTTTTTCCTTAAATAATTAGACAAAAAATTGAGGGTCTTTTTATACATGGAAGGCAGTCACTTTCCTCTGCTTTTGCGAAGCCACTGGGCTTAGCAAAAAGGAAGGGAAGGCTCTATTTGGGTAAAGCAGCCGTGAAAGGGCTGCACGATCTGATCCCTTTGATCCTGAAGCAGCCATGAAAGGGCTTCAGGATCAAAGGGCTGCAATTGTGCAGCCTTTACCCAAAGGGAGCTTCCTTTCCTTTTTCCCTTCCATGGCTTCGCAAAAGGCAAGGAAAAGTGGTGGTCAAAGGGAGCCCTTTGATCCCTGCTTTTCCCTTCCTTTTGCTAAGCTCCGTGGCTTAGCAAAAGGAAGGAAAAAGTGGGGATCAAATTTTCTAATTTGGGTTTAAAAAAGGGGGGTTCGTCTTATACACTGGATCGTCTTAGAAACAGAAAAATACAGTAATAAAGATGCTCAGATGTGAAGATCAGTTGCTAGAAAACAAAGCTATGATCATGCATACTACAGTATTCCTGATCCTTGTGTACAATGAGATGAATTGACTCATTAAAGGAGGTTTGCAAGACCTGAGCAGGTCCATTAATGATAGGATCTTTGGAAGTCATTGATAAAGCAAAGTATCAACAGTGCATACATAGACCTACGCACAGACTACAGTACAGCTTTCTTCATCAAAGTGTCATAATTAGAGATAGAGGTATTTGTATACGAATATCTCCCCACAGGTGGAAATAACAAGGGTCCCAATCATGCATTTGCCACAAGTTCAACGGAACCTTCCCATCGCTCTATTGCTCACAATGGATTAGTCACTCTGCGATCTGGCAGAGAGGCTCGCCATCCCACCTTCTGCCAGGACTGGCTAATCTACTGCAAGCAATGGAGCGATAGGAAGGCTCTGTGCAGCTCGTGGCAGCGGCGTAATTGTGAGTAGACAGTCCAGCCCCATGGGACCTGACCCTCATTATCTCCACCTGATGGGGGGTATCGTATATGAATACCCCCATCTCTAATCATAATAAATCACCACTCCATCTCTTTCTAATGCCAAAGAGTCATACATAGCCATACTACCTTAAGCAGAAATGCAACTGCCTCTTAGCTAGGCAAGGCCACTGAATCAGTGGGTCTATTCCGTTTGGGACTAGCAACTGGGTTTCAGCCATAGTCTTGAAGACGCATCCAACTCAAAAAGAGATAGGCATTTAAACAACCAATTAAGAAAACTAAAGGAATGCTGCTGGATGCAGCTTCATACCTACCAATTTCACTGGAATTATGATAAAATAGAGAGACCATGATGATGTTGAAAAGCCCCATTACTGATCCTTCTCAATTTCTGGCAAAATATGGGCCCTTATAGCCTACTGAAAACAAAAGGCAAGGATAGCGATTGTCGTACTACAAATCCCATCATCCTTCATGGCTATGCTGGCTAGTTTCTGGAAGTTGCAGTCCGAAAACACTGAGAGGCCCCACTCCCCAGCTCCAAGTTATGATATCTGGAACTCAACAGTTGCCCCACTATCCATTTTTTTGGCATACCAGAATAAATAGATCGGATGGTGTTATCTCCACTCTGAATGAATGACACCAGCGCCATCATGACACCCATGGTGGAACTGAGGGCTTCCTCGTTGCCATAGCGGGAGTAAATGGGCTTGCCAGCCTCGCTTAGAACGAAGACATGCTTCCTGTGTGCCCGCCAGCTCTCAGCTGTCACATCCTCATCCCGGTGTGTTGCTGGACGGGTCTGTGTTGCAACTGTCACCTCCTCTTGTCCTGGTGGACCATCGCTCATCACCATAGGACGGCTAAACTCGCTGGAGTCCTCCAACGTGTTGTCTGTGGAGGCTGAATCAGACAGATCCTTGTCACTCAGTTCCTCCTGTGTGTCCACTTTGCCATCTGCTGTGCTTAAAGGACCATTATCTGGGGCGGCAGCAGGCAGCTCCTCCTGCTCAACCAAGACACAGCTGGGTTCATCGCCACCTGGAAAATACATGGAAAAGTCACATTACACACCAAAAATTCAGGAGTCCAAACTAATCTTCCCTCTTCTTCCACAGCCCTACCAGTTGAAAGGAGAACTCAATTGCTAACGCTCACGTCACATCACAATCAGTTACCCACATATCCTTTGCTGCAAGATACATTGTGCAGTGCTGACAATACTCAGCCTCTTCAAAGTCTCCTACTCTCTTGAATCAGATGGCGCAGCCACCCTTGCTTACACTTACACCTTGAATCAGCTCCCAATTTAGGAATAGAGTGGCTCCTTGCTCCTTTTCCCAAACTCCTTTTTTCCTCACTAGTCCCTACCTTGTGAGAGCAAAATCTACACCCATGCAAAAACATTCATACAAATAGTTCCCTCGTCCTCTTTCCCTCTTCCATTGCTTTGCTGGCCATGCTCACGGGGGAATATTAGGAGTTGAAGGGGTGCGGGGAAATAACCTCTATAAAATCCATGAGAGCAAAGACTACCATTCTTCTGTAACACCGCGTCTATTAGTGCCACTATATTAAGAGCAAGCTGTGATCTCATTACAAGCCTTGCTGGCTTGATCCAGGCAGCAATCACTGTGAATGGGAAAACTTGTTACAACTAATCAGAGTTGGACTAAAAAGAATGGAACAGTAATTATCAATCAGTGGGGCAGGTATATATGAAGGGGGTGCATGTGCCTGTATCTAAAGAAAAAGAGAGACAGATTTCAGGTTTTTAAAATAAACAGGTCTTCATTATTACTATAATATATATTTCTTTTTTAAAATAACAATTTGGGAAAATGATATTTAAAAAAACAATTATATTTGCTATTTTCTGATCAGATAGCTTATAGCACCATCCTATGATATTCAGTAATGCACTTACTATATTTCTCTCCTCTATCTCTGTTTCTGAGTTATGTTGTAGAGTTTGTTGTATGTGCATTATGCTCCCCTTAAAGTCTGCCCCCCCATATGACGTGCCCACACCACCGAAAAGTGAGCCTCCCCTTCCAGCAGCTGTGATACAGATGACTCATGGGGACACAATGCCTTCCCACCTCGCCCAACGCAAGCTGCAACAGTTGAAAATTCTAATGAATTTACTGGAGGTGGGAGGTTTGAAGGGAGGCAAGGAATTTGACAGGGATGCAGAGATGGAAGAAAGATGGAAAACCTCTTGTATAGTCGCCGGGATTTCAAGCTACTCACCTGTCCCTGCAGAGGCCAACTCAGCCTTCTGCTCAAGGACATCCATCCCACCCTCTGCGGGTAAGCCAGGATCTTCCATCTCCATCTCTACATCTCAAGTAGCAGCTGCAAAGACAAAAAGCAAACATGACATAACTCCATGAGTTAAAAACCAAACCAGGATGCAGATACTATGTAACCAATTTAGGCTGAACTTAGAATAGCAACTCTGAAGCACCACAATGCCCTTGCTACAACTTTTGGCTCAGATAAATTAGCCACAGACTCAAGCTAATCTTTTTGGTTCAAAGAAAGAACAAGCACAAATCGGAGGGGAAAGGGGCACAGCTAGCTCTTCACTCTCCCAAAGAAAGAAAGGCGACACAGAATGCAAGAGTCAGTGTGTCAGATTCGCCTGCTCTGCCAGCCATAATCTCAGTCACATGCTAAGCCAGGGACACCTCAAAAGAGACAGCATGAAATGCCTTGCTACTAATCACACAATCACATACACACACACATGTGCACACACAGTTAGCAGAGCTTTATACCCACTACTGCCTTTTCCAGTACAGCACCCTCCAGATCTTCCTGGATACAATTCTCATAATGTGTGGTAAGTTTATGTGGGCCAGGGATGATGAGAACTATAATCCATGAGTGTGCTGGAATGAGGAAGATGGACTTTTACCCCTGGTTGTTAACTGACACACAACGAAGTTGGCTGCACCCATACAACTAACAATAGAGGGAACAGAACCCCATCAATATTACTATTTTCTTGTTCCATGCCTTTGTTTGTTCATTTGCTAAGTTTTGTTTAATGAGAAGGAGCAAGGAATAGTTTGACTTGATAATCAAACAGAAACAAAGGAAACACTCCTTTACATTTAAGCATTCGGCAAAAGAGGAAATTTCAGCCAGGAATAAAGTAAGAAGGAAAGCCACACCTGCTCACTGCTCAGAGATAAATGAGACCTGTCGTCCTTTGTTTCTAGGCACACTGCAGGATGAATAAGGCAGGCTGATAAGAATGAAGATAAAGAAGAGCAAGAAAATACGAGTTCCAGGTTAAGGATGGTCTTCCCATATCTGAACAAGGCAACAGCCACCAATACTCGGCCAAAGCAGAGATAACACTACATACCTGTGACTCAAGGTGAATCTTTTCTCCACCATCAGGCTGGTCCTATCATTAGGCACAGCAAGGGAGACACCCCCAAACAGTTGTTTACAAGTGTGGTAAAATGGCAGCGAATCTCTAGTCACTGAATTATTATTTTGCTTTAACCTCCAAGAAAGGGGGAGAGATGTCTGTGGGATTTCCTGTCTCAAAAGCAAAAAGTAATTTGGCTGGCATTGGGTAATATGCACTTTGATCCGGGAGGAGGAAGGTCTTGGTATTTTTTCCCCTCCTCTCCCAGGCTATCCCTGTCTTAGAAACTGGATAACCCTATACTGCTTTGCAATAGAAGCAAATATTCTGTGTGATATTGGACCAGCTCCAAGAAATCACATGCATCCACACGCACATACACAGACATACAATACTTTTCTTGGTGCATTTTCTTCTAAAAGTCCTTCTTTTTAAAACCTATTAATGACACAACATATGAACAAATAGACGTATATCCGCGGCTTTCAAAAAGTTCTCACCACTTGAAAAAAAAATCAGAGAAAGGGTTAAGCCAGACAGCCAAACCAGGAGGATGTACACAAACATCTATCATTTCAATTGTGAAAAAAGAGAGAGCAGAGATTTGTTCCCACTGCTCAGTAGCCGGACCAAACCTTTTCTGTATATTTTTTTCCTTCAGACTTGCATAAATGTGTTTTGGTAGATGTGTAGACAGTCCTTTGCCTGAGGTAAAAAAGAAAAGGCTCCTAGAGAAAAGGCAGGGAAGTATTTAGAAAGGGGGGAAGGTGTTGTAGGGGAACATTGCTTTTACAGGATTTATCCTCATCCAACCCTTTCAAGCCATCAGTGTGCCACCACAATTATATATGCAGGCAGCTGATTAAAATATAATCACATCTCTAACAGGTGTTGTCAACTTCCTAACTCATTACATGTATGTCCTGTTTTTCCTGGATCTCTTCTCCACTTCGTCATCACAAGCAATGGCTCAAGTCTCACTCTAACACACTAACCACTACACCACAATGGCTCCATGCACCTTGCAAGGCTCAATTAAGGAACTCTAGCACTGCTCCTTTCCCCATCTCAGCACTTTGAGGCCAGCAAACTCACAGGTCTATAGAAGGGGCTGCATTTCAAAACAGAAGAAGTCCAGAATGGCATTCAGAAGGATGACTTCCTGCTCAGAAATCCTGAACAATAACAAGTGAAAGGCAATCCAAGGGGCTGCCAGCTATATGGCATATAACCTCGAAAGAACAACTTCTCCTAGGAAAATGACTCCATAACAGCCCAATCATGCCTGTTGGTCTTGCAGTTCTTATTGTCCAAGACAACAATATTCATCTATCCAGAATGACACTATATGTAATGGTATTCCTAGTCCATGACATCTCAAGTCCTGGCAAGCTTTGAAAATGCTAGAAGCAAAGTCCAAACACAGAAACAGCATTCTTGTTGCTTGCTTGTACTGCTCTTGTCAAGGGATGAGCAAAGAAATTTTTCAAAAAGCAACCCACACAACTAGATGATCACTTTTGAGACTAAGGAGAGAAAACAAATGAACAGGCACTAAAGTACTTAAGGCAGAGTGGTGCAATGACTAGAGTACTGAACTTAGAGTGAGGTTCTAATCCCTTCTGCACAGTGAAGCTCACTGGGTAAACACCAGGCTGAAAAAGAAGGGCAGTCCCTATATCACAGGACTGTGAAGATAAAGGGGAGAGGACAAGAACTATGAACACTGCTGGAGCTCACTGGAGGAGATGGAGGATACAAATCAATTACTGCAGTTCACGGGACAGCACAGTGACAGTCCTGAATAGACAGATAATACCACATATAAGCCAAATTATGTTACATCACCCTCGGCAGGAACTCCAGGTCAGAAGTGGGAAGCTGCATATTTAGACTACAACTCCCAAGATAACCTGCCCAATAAAGGAACTCAAAGTCTTTCTAATCAACAAGGGTTTCTGCAATCATTCCACGGAGTGAAGCACAACAAGGTTCCCTACCATTTCAGCAAACAGAGAGATGTATCCCCACCCCAAACAAACAACTTCCAGAAAGCAACAGCCAGCAAGTCCAGTCGTAGGCCATAAACCCAATGGTTTCCCTTCCCTGAGCAAGCCTGCCCAAAGCACAGAGAAAATCAGAGTCTATTGTGTGCTGAATCCAACCAGGTATCACCAAGTTCTCCCACCGCAAGAGTCCTCCTCAGTCACCAAGAAAACACCAACTATCTCAATCTCTCTCAAGTGTTCAAACAACTTATCCACAAGGCAAACAACCCACTATCATCATACACAGCCCTAGGATTCTGCTGAGTACCACCTTACAGAGAGTGCTAGAAAGATAGCTCCCCTCCCTTTTTTATATCTACAGGCCCATCTAAAACAGACACATATCCCACAATAGACAAATGCCCATGTCTTTCTAATTTTCAATAACGTGTCAAAAGCAAACTCTTACATCAGTTTCCTAACAGATAAAAAATGCTTTCACACAAGGCCTCAGTTGTGCAACTACTCTACCTCAAACAGCAAAGGTTCGGGGACCAGCTATATTCCTCCCATAATTTCCACTGCCTTCTTTTTCTTCTCCCCACCACCACACACACACACAAATACCTGTTAAGCAGGAAAAGATGAAACAGACACGAAACAATCCTTTCAATTGGTAGCTCAGCCAACTAAGCCTTTGATCTGGAAAGCAGGACCAATAAACATCACATGTCCCTCTGATACTGCAGTCACTAAGTGGTAACATCTTGAGATGTTCCATGCACACGGACCTATACATACATATACTGTTTCATCAATGGAGTATTAGAAACCTACCCAACCCGAGGCCCGTGAGCTGCAAATAGTTATCCCTGATACAGAGAAACAAACACTGGCCAAAGATGAAGTCCACTGTTAAGCCTCAGTTTCAAGGCAGAGGTGGCAGACCGGACGACCGACGAGAGGTGTTTGCTACAATTTTCTGTTGCGGTTGCTGCAACTGCCTGGTGCAGTGAGAGAGTCCATCAGACCCTTTCTGACCATGAACATGGCAAAGGCCACCGTCAACTCTTTATATATATATATAAAAAATTACAGTCTCCAGTACCCGAGAGGTTTAGCAACGCTTAAAAGCGACGAGAGCCCAACCGAGCCTCCATGTACCGTGGCAGTCTACCTCCACCAAGCGCCGGGGAGAACATGCGCGGAGGGGAGAGGCCAAATACACCCTCAGGCTTGGATAACTTGCGAGCGTCCCAGGAAGCAACGTGACCGGCAGTGAAGACGACCCAGGCGCTGATCAGGTCCTGCAGGGCAAGCCCTAGGGTCCTGCTTACCTTAGGATCCTGTTGACCCCAACCCATCTGGCCCAGGGAAGAACCCCGGGGCCGCCACACACACACCCCGCTCAATCCGGAAAGGACCGGGGGAAACCCCAGACCACGTTGCAAACCGGCCGCCCCTCCGCATGAAGGGACAGGCAGGGGGAGAGGAAGGAGGGGACCCGAGACGCCCTCCGCTCCGCTCCGCTCCCACGGCCGCCGGCTTTTCCTCACCCTCCGCTCGGGAGCTCCTCGCTTCCCCGTCATAGCTCAGAATTCCCCTCCGGACTCCGCCAACCGCACTTCCTGACCTGAAGTGACGGGGGGGCGGGGCAAGAGGATAAAATTGGCAAGCGGCTCTTCTAATGACAAAACGAACGGCGGCAAAGAGGCGTGGATGGAGGGGCGGGAAGGCGAATCAGAGCCAAGGCGGTCCGAACTTGGAGCCGGAGACCAATCACATTCTCAGCCGATGAAAACGACAGTTAGGAAAGGAGTGGGGGGGAGCAACTCCAAGGAGACGGGGGAGAGTGACAGTGAACTTGGCTAACCAAAACCCGAAGAAAGGATGCAAGGGGTGGGAGAATGAAATCCGGCCTCTGAATTGAATCACTCAATCAACGAACGCCCGGCGAAAGCAAAGAAAGGGCGGGGTTATCCACAATGTCAACCAATTGGAACGCGCCTTTTCTAACCTTCCACCAACCACAGGCAAGAAATTGTGACGGTCACTGACGGGTTGGTGGTTGTAACCACCGCTCAGTGGAGGGCATGAGAGAGTGACGTCATCCCTTCTCTCTCCGGGGTAGTTTGCGCAGCGCGTGCGACCGGAGTAGTAGGATCCGCTCGGCTGCTGTAGCTCATCCTGCGCTTTTCTGGATAGTCTCCTTCTGCTGCAGTGGGATGAGATCAGAATCCGGAGTGATTGGCTTTCTGAAGCAGGGGGGAGATGTGTTAATGTGTTGCGATAAGAGAGTCTTGGAATCCCTGAAAATCTATCTGAGCCCGTTTTGGCACCTGCTTCTGCGGAGGTAGCTGCTGAATTCGACTGTGGCCCATGCCACCTTAGCTCTTTATCTGTCAACCTGTAAGGTGCCAGAAAGACTTATTTGTTGTTGTTCTTGCATTTTTACTGCCGCTTGTACGTGAATGCCACCAGGGCCAGCCCAACAGAGTCCGCTGCCCAAGGAAGAACACCTCATGAGGTAGACAGAAAGACACGCCTCAGTCAGGATGAACAGAACCAAAGACCCACCGAATTACTATCATGAGATGACAAGACTCACTGGAAATGAGAATAGCAGTAAGAGAAGTGGAAGGTTTGGGGAGAGGAGGAAGACCACACAGGAGGCGGATTGACTCAAAAAAAGAAGTCACAGCCTTGAGTTTGCAAGACCTGAGCAGGGTCATTAATGACAGGAGGTCGTGAATTCATAGGGTGGAAGGCAGCTTGACTCTACATGACAACAGCAAGCCAAAAGGACATATACTGACATAACACTTGTTGTCTTAGATGTGCTACAATACTTTGATTTTGGTCTCTCTTGCAGTTCACCCATTGCCACATAAGCCTACAACATTTGCAGGCTTAAAAATGCACTAAACTTGTATGTTTACAGAGGAGTGGAGCAGGCACAGGATTGGGGGGTTGTTAATACACCTACTGGAGTCCTCAGCTTTTATTCTTCAGGAAGTTGCTGGACGTCAGGATGTACCAGAAAATTTACACCTATCGTTCCATTCACTCACTTAGTAAGATATATATTTTCCCTTTGGTTAATATATTGTTCTTACATGCCAACAAGTCACATGACTTATGGCCACCCCAATAAGGTTGTCAATGTATGTGAGATTTTCAATGAGTGCTTTACCATTGCCACCCACACTATAATTTTAATGCTCAAGGCAAATACTGTATAGTAATTTTATAGTTTCATGTTTTTTTGTATCATTTCATGTATTATTTTATCATTACTGCCATAGTAGTCACATTAGAATGGCGTTAGTTGATATACTTTAATTATTAGTAGTACTATTCAATTGTGTGCTTGATGAGTACTCATTTTAACACTATTGAATAGAATATGAAAAATTATTCATTTTATTTGGCCATTAAAACTTTAGATAATAATTTTAATGCTACCTGCAATAGGAGGAAAATAAATTCCCCATCCTGTAACTGTTGTAGATGTATAATTAATCACCATAGAAACACCCAAAGTTTATCTTGGTATTTTACATAAAAGTCACTGGGTGGCGTAATTGGACTGCATGAATATTCAGTCATGTAACCAATATCCCTAAATCTTGTTTAGCTTGCATAAATACTGTTTTACTACTGTACTGTTTAATACTGAACGAACCCACACAGGGCCTATGACAGGCAACCTCCTGCCGAAAGAGCACACAATGTCTTCATTTTTTAGATTGCCTAACCACCACGGGACCCACGATTCCATGGGGTTGTGCCTGTCATTTTCATTTAATTTTTAAAGAGGCAAAAAAAGTAACTGCAAATTGTATCCATGCATGTTGGATCCCCTGTCGTGGCATACTCTGTGGGTGATGTCTTGTGTCTCATCCATGTCAGTGATGAGGCAAGGGATTGGGTGTGCTCTTGCTCCCCTTGGGCCACTCCGCCCATGACAGGTCATCTCAACAGGACCTTGCTGGGAAGCTGCCCATGCATTCCTGAATTCAAAAAATGGAGGAATATAAATGAAACAAAACTAAATACAGAAACAAATTTAAAAAAATATAAGGGCAGACATGACAAATTGTGTTTTCTGTTAGAACTGACACATTTTTCACCATTATTCTACATCGGCAGTTTATCTTGTTTATCACATGCTCAAACTGGTGTAAAATTGATTTTATGTGTATTTTTGGAATATGGGCTCCAACTTTATTGAATTAGGACCTATTAGAAATTCATATACTGTAGGTCTTTCATACACTGCTGTACAGAGGGCAGTACATGAAATATCTCTGGTTTCCTAGACTGCCTTTTAATCAGTTTATATCCCCATTTCTGATACACTTCTAATCCTCTCTGGGATGGCCTCTTTCAGATCTATTAATAATACAGCAATGTCTTCCAGTTGTCAGTTTATGACCGTTTTCCTGTGTTGCCCTAAAGTAATTCTTCAGGTTGGACATTTGCTGTGTTGTACCAGCAGTCCAAAAAAATACGGAGAAGTGCTCTCTGGTTCTGTCTAATGGTATTTAGTGGCAGTGCCCACGGCTGCCTCAAGAAGTATTTTAAAATGCTGCCTCCAGTGTTCGGCCATATCAGTAAACCAGTTCTAGCAGTTCTTCCATTCTGACACTGGGCCTTTAAACAACTTGTAAAAATACAAGGGAGAATGATGCTTCATTTGATACTTAAGAATGTCAAAATAACAATATAAAATTTGAGAAATCCATTCAGAATCTCTCTAAAATGCCTTTAAATGCTTTCTAAAAACGTTTGTGACTCCTTGTTAGATTGTTGTTATATAGTTTGTGGACACCGTTGAAGCCAAGTCATGTGTTACAAGAATCCCTGAACCCTTTTGTAGGGGGAAACCCAGTTGATGTTAATGTGGAAATAAATGCAGAACCTTTTGATCTACCTCCAATGCCTCGTCCGTTTATGGGGGAGAAAACAGTCCATCCCAACGAACCCTCACACCCTCCAACATTTTCTTTTATTCTTTTATTGTTGGAATCCTCATATTTGACTCAGTGAGTGAATAGAGTGACAAACTAGGATTCAGAAGACCTGAGTTCCAGTCCTCACTCAGCCATGGAAACTTACTGGGGATGTGAAACTGGTAAAACCTTAAATATCTCACTTACCTTGAAAGCCCTATTAGGGTCACTATACTGTACAGTGTAATTCCAGATTCACAGCATATAACAACATATTCACATATTTTAAAAAATTAAGTATTTTATATTAGGATTTTCTGTTGTACTGTACTATTTAGTCCAGCATTGATAAAATGCATTGAAATATCAAAAGATTTGCTAACTTTTCTCCCATTCACACTCATTGTAGTTACTATTTTATTTAATTTCTAATGACTTCCCTTAAAAACCTTCCCCCAAAACCTTGAATTATTGTTTCCTATGTGTTTACTTTTAAATTCCGATATTGCGTCACATCAGTATTTGTCTCAGTTCTAATATTTTTCAGTTCATTTTCTTTTACTATTAATTTTATCTATACCCCTTTACTTCCTGTTTATGTTCTCACTTCAAGCTGACTGTACATACATATTATTCTTGTCAACAGCATCATGGTTCTTTAAAACTCCATTTCCCCAATTGTTCACATTTCTCATACCACCACTTTTAACACTTCCCATATTGCTAATGGATGAAGGTGGTTAGTAGTACTGTATTAGTTTTAAAGAGTATTGTTCATGCTGTTGTTTAGTGTGTACAGTATTGGCACTCTTCAATGGATTGATTTTCCATGAGACCATTATAAATTCCTTTTCTGAGATTTCCAGATTCTGGTCACAATGGCTCAATTTAAAATTGTGGCAGGACAAACGCAGCACTACCTAATTTTTCAGAACAGACCGTGGTGGTTACTATGTAGTCCAAGGGTAGACAATCTATGGCTATCAGATGTTTTTTACTAACATTTCCAAAATCCCTTTCTTCTAGCCACGTAGGTTAGGGCTGATGGGAGTTGTAATCCAAAACATCTGGAGGGCACCAATTGATTACTTCCTGATATAGTCAGTATAATGTCTAAGCAAATAAAAATTATGCTTTTTTAACTTGCTGAATAACCACCCACCATTGTCTATAAAATCATATATATATGGTTTATATGTAAAAGTCGGTATGGTAGGGCCAGATTCCTACTAGGATTTTCATTTGGAGTAAGTTAAATCACCTGCAGCTACTGAAAAGGTGCTCGCATGTGACCTGGCATGCAACTGGTACCTTGTTAATTAACTGGAATTAATTGCCACAATTTATGTGATTTACTCACTCGGCAGTATAATCCCAATAGGATTTTGGTTAGGTGTCTAGCAGGTATGTGACACCTGTGTTGTACCCATAGGTCTATAATACTTGCATTTATATCTTTTTTTTTCTCCTGCTGGCATTCTTCCTAATATGGCTTTATTTATTTTTTATTTAAAATATTTTTACCCCACCTTTCTCCTTAAAAAGGACCCAAGGCAGCTTACATTGTAGAAAGAAAATATTTAAAACTAAGAACGATGAGTATAAACAGACAACTTTCATCATTAAAAGGTAATATTAAACAGGCAACTTTCATCATTAAAAGGTAATATTAAAGCTAAAGCAATTATACAAATATTAGAGAGGAACAAACAAGTACCACTCTGAGGGATGGTGAACACAAGTAAGCAATTATGCAAATATTAGAAAGGAACAAACAAGTACCACTCTGAGAGATGGTGAATACAAGTAACATTAAAGTAGTAGTACTCCCTCTCTTCATTTTTAGTAGATGGTATCGTCTACTAATCTAGTTCATTTTGTATTTTGGCTAAAGTACCAGTTTTTCTATTCAGCTGCTTATCAATTTGATTGCAAATGCATAACTGCAAATAGGCAAATATTAGAAAGGAACAAACAAGTACCACTCTGAGAGATGGTGAATACAAGTAACATTAAAGTAGTAGTACTCCCTCTCTTCATTTTTAGTAGATGGTATCGTCTACTAATCTAGTTCATTTTGTATTTTGGCTAAAGTACCAGTTTTTCTATTCAGCTGCTTATCAATTTGATTGCAAATGCATAACTGCAAATAGGAAAATATTGAGTCACTGGATAATGTCTTTTAATTAATTGAATTAGGAGCTTTCTGTCGCAAGTATTAATAGTAGTTCAGTCTTATTACTCATGATGCTCATAGTACTCATAATACTCATCATGTGAACTGAGATGTTTCTTTTTAACAGCCTGGTTGTGAACATGAAAGAGCAACTGAGTTCCATTAAGACCTCAATCCTATGCTCATTTAGCTAGCATCAATCTCTATTCAAGTTAGTGGGGTGTTCTGACTGTAAGTTATTATAGTCTACTACAGGGGGCAGCACTCCTGGCCACTAACTTGTTGATGGTTTGCTTATTCACAATTCCAGTCCTTAGTCAGTCTGGGGGAAGCAGGGGTTGCTGTGGCCATCCATTTCCTTTGAGAGCCAGGGGGTTGCGGTCAAAGGAAGGAACTCTTTCTCACCTTATTCCTGGCTGTTCTGATTCCCAGGATGCCTACATATGACACACCCATTTTACAAACAGAGTACTGTAATGGCAAAGAAGACACAGCCGAGACTACATAGAGTGCTGCTGTTGAGTCCCCACAACTAGTTCTGACATATCTACGTATCTGAGATTAGAGAAAGGTTTACCAAGGCAGGAGGTATGAGCCCTGGGGTTAAGCCAGAAACCAAGCACTGGAAGTTACAGTGATCAGAATTATGTATTTCCTGGCACTATTCGTATATTATGTTCTTCTATTTACGGACAGTACCTCTGTAGGGACTTTCCATATACAGTCACTGACCCATGATTGAAGAGAAAGAAGAAAACAAAAGACAAATCATATTTCCCAGTGCCAAGATAGCTGGTCTCAGTAAATATATTCCCCGTACAGGTGGCTGAATCAGAGGTCAAGGAAAGACTCACTTGTCATTCATATAGTCATGGTTTGGCAGATCAAACTGAGGAACAATGTGGAAGCTTCCCAGTGGAGTTCTGTAGGCCTCTCGTGTTCTGAAACTAAGATGGAGGAAGTTGTTACTGGAATTCTCAATATCTCTAGAGGTCTCTTTGGAACAGAAAGAGCGAGCTACGTTGCAAAACTGTTCAGCAGTGGTTCCCAAACTTTTTTTACTTGTGACTCCCTTGACTCACTGGCCGCGGCTCCCCCAACATGATACCTTGAGTGAGGGGGGAGAAGGGAGGGGTGAAGTACTGAGTCATACTTCCACAGATTCCACCGGAATACTTCCAAGAATTCTGTGGCATCCCCGGCTAGTTTTGGCAGCGTCCTGGGGTGCTGTGGCACACAAATGGGGAATTATTATACAGGAAACATTAACAAAATGTGTTGTAGGAATTCTTCGGTATAATAAGATGACCTTCTATATGCATCCTGATTCTATGAATGTTTATAAACTGTTTGCCATAGTGGTTCTTGATCGATGAAGACCAGGCAGTTCCAGGTTCAAGACACCATCCATGTCATGTCCCAGCTAACCCTGGGTTTTCCTCTGTTTCACCCCAACCCAGCTGGCTGTTATGAGGACAAAAGTGTTGAATGAATCGTTTAAACTGCTCCAAGCTCCTTGGAGGAAGAGCAACATAAAAATGTCTTGAACGGACTCTCACATCACAGCATCCATGATCATGGAAGTGACTCTTCAGTCACAGATGCTGTGCATTGTCTCTGACGCATTTTTGGTATCACCTGGCAGGACAAAATTCCAAATAGAGTAGTCCTAGAACGAGCTG